AGCCAATTAACAACAAGAATAGTAAATGACACCTAGTTTGTATGATTTTCCGGTAAAAAAATTGAATGTGATTGGATGATTGCCATGTGGATTTCAAGTGGTCCAATTTAACCTCTGTGCGTGTGCCAAACATGTACCCTCAACCATTTTAGAATAAGGGGTTGATAATATAACATACATCCCTTTAGTTGGATCTTTGAGTAGGAGTGAAGTAATGAAATCAGCACGAAAGTTGATTTGTCATGAATCAAATCACAACTGAAAATTCACAATTCTGAAACATCCAATTTTGTGTAATCAATTCCAAACTATCAAAGCTAAAAAATATCTAAGCTTACATCAGAAAAGAGAATAAAAAATCATTTCTTTACAAGAACAATTTAATTTATATTTCTGTTTACAATCATCTGATATTTTTTAAAGTGTTAGGACACTTAAAATTTAGAAAATAATGTATAATTTAAATTTAGAATAAAAAGAATTTAGACTAACAATGACTAAAAGAGTAATCCTCCCCGGACCCTAATGATCGAGAGGCAATGTTGTGGGGGGTGATATTGTGTTCTGCGAGGATACTCTGACCCATGAGGAATACAGGATTTGATGTCAACAATCTTTCGTTACATTGTACTCTATAGACGGAAGTCCATGCATCATGATTTATGTCACACGCATTGGAATGCGAGACAGGAATCAGTGGAACACACTTTTCGTGTCTATGTGGTTTGTCCTTTCAATATATGGCCTCTCCCTAAATTGACCACCTGGTATGACCTATAACTTTGGAGTTATGTATTATGTCAACTTCTGAAATACCATCTTGACAGCTCCAGTATACCAGTCATGACCATCATGGCCCGATATATACCGACTAGAAAAATACCGAAGGAGGTAGATACATTGACTTTGCGCAGACAGTTCGACACACAACTGATCGATAGAAAGTCCGAACCTTGGAATAGAGAAATCATACATACGAATTGGCATACGAAATATAAGGAGGATTTTTAATCAAAGATCAAAATCTTCATAGTCAACTACAGTTTGTTCAGGACCAGACGGTTAAATCTTTTATTCTCTGCGTCGAAAGGGTTGAAGAATAAAGGCAGTTCAAAATACATCGGTCATTCTATATATATGCCTTCGGAAGTAGGTGATGAGAAGTAATAATTTGTATGCATGTCTAAATTAGACCACTAGAGCGCTTCACTGTACTTATCTCTTTATTCCTTGACATTTATCCAGCTGGGTGGTTATAATAATCATGTTGACCTAGGTTTCTTCACCATGCATTTCTTAGTTCTTCATTTGTTCGAGATGGCTACAGTAGTTTCCTACATCTGAAGGAATACGGTATTGTAGTTCGTTCGAGTTACTTGTTGACTCCTTGTAGATCACCTGGTCTACATCTATTTATCAGTCTTCGAATCACCTGCTCAACATTCTTCAACAAATTGCAAGACAAGTATGTTAGAAAGTATCATTCTCATCATTTTCTTATAGGTTTCGATTCCAAATGGTTACTGGGTAAGCCACTTCTCGATTAGATATACTTCTCGAATAGATAGCTCTCTACTAAAGAAACCCATACAAGGTCTATCTATATTTGCTGGTCTATGGTTTCCTTCAATATGTGTGTAGGCCACAGCCATCCACCTGGTTTAAAAAGAATTAAGTGGAAAATGAAAAGTCACTGGGATTCCATTCGATTCTTTGGGAGAAAAGTTTATCTGGAATTTTACTGTTCGAATTTCTCATGTCGAGAGAAGAAGAAAAAAAGGCAAGCAGAGGAGAATTATGACGGCGAAGCGTTAAAGTGAAAAACGTAAAAGTAGAACCCTCACAAAACCAGTCATTCAAGAATAAAGTCGAGATCTTCAGAAGTCGGAAAACCTAAACCGTGTCAGTTATTAAGGTCTCCGGTTGCCTATCCTCCTGCCGAGCCTGACACCCCCTGAGATGTCAAAAGCCAGCTACGCGGAACAACGATAGACGTTGAAGAATGTGTGTCTTAGATATGCAAATAGTAGCGAAGGTTAATAAAAAAACCTCTAGTTAAACATTGAAGAGAAAAATGAGCACTATGAATTGCATCAGTGATTTTCAGTTTAAACTTGAAATGTATGAGGAGTCACGATTAGATAAAAATTCAAGGCATCCGAAAGATATAATTGTATACAGATTGCGCCTTGGGATACTAGAGAAATGATCTGCTCAGCTTGCACTAGAATTAAGCGTCAGATTCTATATTGAAATGCAAAAGAGCAGAGAGATCTTTGTTTCTCATTGGTGCATGAGATAAAGTGTTTAGCACCTAATCAGGAAACCAGAAAATCGCTGAAATCCTCTCCTTGTTCACAAGAGTAGAAGAGTGCAGATGAGGAAAGGTCACAATATACCTTGCGACTGGAAAAGGCTACACCGGAACCTGTAGGTACTTCATGAATGAATAGGCTTTGGATATAAATTTTGGGGAAGATGCTACACTTTGACAACTCACATTTCCTTGTGATCCTGTTAGGCTTTTCGGCGAAATCCATAATAGTAGAAGGACCTTCCATAGGCATAAAGGTAAAGTTGTAGAAGCACCGTAGTCTAGTATTATGACCCCTAGCTAGACCTTCCATCGATATGGCCTCTCGTATCATGATGGTGTCCAATCTTGTCTAGTCTGATGCTGATAAGAACAAACATGCGGAGAACAGCTTCTCGGTCTCATCCTCGCCAGCTTGTTATATGTGACCACTTGCTGGTGATAAAAATAATCTCTTTGTCTAGCCACATGAGCATAGTTTTTTCATGTAAAACCAAAAGTTTGAATCAAGTTCAGATTATTCCTCATCTTTCTGGGAAAAATACTCAATGAAAGACTTTCAAAACTTTTAGACGTCCCGAGTTTGAAGTCTGTCTATTGAGCCTAATGTGGCTCAAAGAATGAACTATGGCCAGCTAAACCCTGAGTTCATTTGACGAAAGAAATATACAATATCCAAGGAGGATGGACGGATGCAAAACATGACTTGCTATTCATGTTGTGAAGGATATGATGAGGGAAAGGCATACTTTGCATGGAAGAATATAATTATAAGAGCTAATGAGTCGCAACACTAAGGGTTATGACAAAGAAGATGATTGACATGCCAGACATGTGATGGATGATGCTTCGGCCGCAAGAGGGCAACTCTCGCTTGCATGATGTATGCTTATGTATGCAAGGAAAGCAAGGCGAGTGAGATTGAAAGCTTCTTTCGTTTTCTTTCCTTTCCTTCCCTTCAGCTGCGGTTGATGCGGTGGATGTTCACCTGGTCCCGTAGCATACGGAAGGTATCCCATGAACCCTCTGAAGCTTGTTCAGATTGAATACGGCATGGGGCTCACTTCCCTACGAGGAGGAGGAGAAGATGGATCAGGACAAGACTAGCGTTGCATGATTCAGGTTGTCTCAATCCGAGACGAAGACAGCAGGATCCCTTCCTGGCCTTCCTGCTTGCTCAGGCGGCTCAGGCTTTGAAGGGTGCCTCCGACGCTCGTTGAGTTACTGATGACACACTTGGATGTCAAACAGTCTTCTTCTCGAACAACCAGGAAAGGGAACAAACTGGAACAAAGATGTGTGAGATTGAAAATCAGGTCATCGAGAGCACATGAAGTATGGAGCTTGAAAAGCAATATGCGTGTCAATTCAATTGTAAGCAAAAATTAGCAAAAGTCGAGGTACTAAATGTCAAGGGGTCGAAGTTGGAAGAAAGGCTGCGTTTGCATGTGTGTGTGCGTGTGAACACGTGTGTGACTTACTCAAGGACTAGTTCGTACTTTTGGAAGATAAATGAACTATTCGTTTCGGTACGCTAGTGGCTATATACATAGAAGATCACGACGAACAATCTAATGTTCTGCGATGCGGCATACCTTACAAGTTTCTCAAAGTTACGAGATGTTTCATATTCTGAAGTCTCTAAATCGCGTACATGTACAAGCACGAGATACATGGAACGTACAACAATTTTGGACGGGTCCAACGAGACAAATCCGAATTCCTCAACTCGTCATTCAAACCAAAGCTCAAATAACGGACGGCACAATTTAAGTCCTTGGGGTGTGGGTGTACCCGCGAAGTGCCAAATGAAATGTACTGCAAACAGAAGAGTACCGATAAACCGATCGATATATGGCTTCCGTGGGAGTAGGGTCGGCCGGGTAATGACTAGTCCCATGTAAAGTCCTCGTAAGAAGTCAGAATGGCCTACAATAAAGGTAGGCCAGCCAGCCCGGACAGTACAGTACTGTACGTACTGTACAAACCGAGCAGCATCAAGTTCATCTGTGCGGGGTGCATGTACATGTATGCCGGGGCGAGCACATCCATCGGGAGGATGATGGTGATGGATGGAGGGATGGATGGACCGACACTCGGACGCAGGTGCGGATGGAGGCAGGCATCATAAATTTATGCGGGGACCAGCGAGAGAGTGCATGGATGGGGTGGGAGCGAGAGGGGGAGGAGGAAGCCTGGGCAGAGGGAGGGAGGGAGGGCAGGCACGGTGAGCGTAGCGGGGCAGCGGGGCAGAGGGGCAGGGCAGGGAAGGGCAGAAGGGCAGGGCAGAGGAGAGCAGAGCGGAGGGATGGGATGGCGGGAAGGCAAGGGAAGGAATGGATGCTGCTCTGCCCTGCACTGCGCTGAGGTCTGACGTAGGCAGGCAGGCAGGCGATGCAGAGCTGGCTGGCGGGTAGTGGAAGGAGGCGAGAAGGACCTGACTGGCTGAGCCGGTTGAGTTGAATGGGATCCAGTGAAGGAGCGATTCATGCGACAGCCCGCGAACGAAGGCGAGAGCAGGGAACGTTCGCGATGCAATCGCGCAGCCCTCGCAGACCCCGTAGCTCTGACCACAGGCAGGCTCGCATGCAGGCAGGCAGGCGGTCAGAAGTCCAGACCAGAACTCTGGCCTCCCTCCCTCCCTCCCTCGAGTCTGCTACTGCTGCACGCTGCGACTACTGCCTGCGCTCTCTCTAGCTACACTCGCTCGCTCGCTCCCTCCCCGCGCCTCCCTAACCCCCTCCCTCCCCAGCCTTCTCGCTCTGGTCTGTCTCTGATCGAGCGATTGATGATAATTTATCTAGCTGCCTGGCCGAACTGTCGCCCCCTGCTGCTGCGATCTGCAGCATCTGCTTCCTTCCTTCTTCCTCTTCCTTCTTTCTTTGAATTGTTGTCGTGCGGGTGGGTGTTCTCGAGCTGCTGTGCGTGCAGGCGGAGAGGCTGTAGAAGTGGGCGAAGGGAATCCATGGCTGGCAAGAAGCCGTGAGAGAGTTGAGTAGGAGGGAGTCGTAATGTGCGAGACCAGTGCTAGCATTGTGTGTGAGAGCGAGAGGGAGCGAGTGACTGTGGTGGTGGCGGCGACGGGAGCTGATAATGCGAGAGGAGATTGAGAAACACAGCTGATAACAGTTGCATCCGGAGTCGGAGCTGAAAATGTTTAGTAAAAGATTTCAATAGCTCCTCTGTTTCTTCTCGTGCACAGGCAAGGTCCTGGTTCGCCTCCGCAATCGGCGCGCTTAGTCCCGCTTCCCTCGTCCTCGTCTTCTATTCTGCCCCTTTCTGGGCGGCGCCTGCGGTGAGAGCGCTCAGGACTTCCACAGCCGCTGCAGCTGAAGGGTGACTTCTGTTTTCTGTTGGTGACTACCGGCTTCTCTTCCCCTCCCCGAATCCACCCCAGGTCGTGACACCTCACTGCGAGTCCACGCGCCCCGAGCACGCAAAGCTCTGGTTTCTGGGACTCCCTCCTATTTTTCAGCCTATTTCTCTGCGAGTGCTGGTGCTCTATCTATGTGAGGTGGTCATTTCGCTCCTCTTCTCCTCTATTTCTCTTTCTTCCTCTCCCGGGTGGTTTCTCTGCTGGTGAGCGCTGGCAACGCCCAGCCCTCTGTAGGCCAGCTTCGAGCCTCGAAGTGCTTGGAGATGATCCGAGAGCAGCTGTGCAGGTGATGAGAGTTTCGGGTGAACATGAGAATGCACTGTAGTGGGATGGTGACTTAAAGAAATTTTCTGCTGCTTTTGATCCGTTTCTGCGTCCAGAGATTCAAACACTGAAGCGAGGATGCTTCGAGGGCTGATGGACTAGTTTGCGGGTATTAGAGCAGGTAGATACCTCGGGGCTCTGTGCAGAGTAGAGCAAGGTAATCGAAAGGACGACGAGGAGGAGACGGCAGTTCGTGGTCGCTAGATGGTGACGGTTGGAACAGGGTCAGTGCCCCTGCTCACAAATGTGTGCAAGCTGCGATGTAGCTGATGTACAGAGGCTCAAGTTTGGGTCAATGCAGCCCACAGACAATGCAGCTGCATTTAGTGGACGGCAGTTGATGCTCGAGCAGCTGTGGGCTCGCGGGTCGTTCAGTATGAGAGTCTGTGGGGTACATACGACTCTTGGATTAAGAAGCTGGATATTTAGCGAAAGCAGACGGTGCCCCAACAATGCTGCTCCCGGACATCAACACATAGTCTAGTCTGTCGAAGGATACGAGGAAGCACTGGTGTCTGAGAGAGATGGGGACCTATCCTCGCCCTCCTTCACTCGGTCTTTCAGGAACTATGCGGAGGCTGTCCTTACTCGTTCTTCTCTTTTCTTACTTGACGCCTCTCCTCGCCGACCTCCCGCCGGCTCCCGACGCTCTCACCCTGCTTCAGTTCAAAGGGCAGTTGGTTGCGGATCCATCCGGGCGTGTGATTGATACCTGGAATGTGAACAACTTGGATGCCCAAGGATGCCCGCAGAATTGGTACGGTGTTATCTGCTCAGACCAGGGAGCTGTTGTCGTCCTTTCCCTTGAGAATCTGGCCCTCCAGGGAGAGTTGAAGAGTGGTACGCTAGGAAATCTATCCGGGCTATTTTACCTCTCATTAGCTAACAACTCTCTCACCGGTACAATACCAGATGACCTCGGAAACCTCTCAGATCTTAAGGTTATGATTTTGTCCGACAACCATTTCGAAGGCCCGATACCGCGGTCCTTTCTGCGACTTTCGCAGACATTGAATAATCTTTCGCTCGCCGGAAATAGGTTGACGGGGCCTATTCCTGATGAACTAGGGGACATGTATCTTTTGACAGGACTTGACCTGAGCAGGAATCAGCTGACTGGGAAGGTACCTTCCTCTCTCGTGAAGCTGGAGTCATTGGTCGCTCTCAATCTGTCTTCAAACGTCCTCGATGGGAGCATACCAGGCGGCTTCTCAAACCTTGCCCAGTTGGAACGATTGGATTTCCACCAAAATCAGTTGTCGGGGAGCATAGACCCCACCTTACTGACTCTCAACAAGACTCGCTTTGTGGATTTGAGCTCCAACAGCTTCACTGGAGTGCTTCCCTGGCAAATGGAGGAATATGTTCCGGTCTTCACAAGCGTAGAGCATGTCAATCTTAGTCATAACAAACTCTCAGGTTCATTGAGTACGGCCGGTGTCTTTTTCGCCGCCGCCTTGAAAGTGCTGGATATTAGTCACAATGAGCTCGCTGGAGAGCTGCCATCCTTCCAATATGTCACTTCGCTCACTTCGCTGAGGTTGGGGAGTAACGCTTTTACCGGTTCCGTACCCGTCGCTCTGATAACAAACCCGTCTCAGCTTCTGGAGGAATTTGACATAAGCGGCAATCAACTGTCTGGTAAGCCTTCCACTCGGAATCGTTTGATGCTCGTTGACGGACCATTTTGACCCACTCGCGAACACATAATACTAGCAGTCAAGTCGTGCTTTGTGACACTAGGACGTGCTTCATGCTTACCTACGTACAAGTTTTGCCGCCTAGCCCCTTGGAGTTGGAAGTTTTTAGTATCCATGGATACTGAAATGCATTTGTTTTCAGATGTATCATTGGATACGTCTGAAAACTAGGTGACTGCTGGGAAGATGAACCTGCTTGTATATCGAACTCGTTGCTGTGCAAATATTTCGCTCCAAGGACCCGGTGGCACGCTTTACTAAAGTTTTACAGTGCCCCTCAAACTTGCCTTCGTTTGTCTCAAGAAAATTGTAATCAAGACGACTAATAACATCGTTTCGAACAAGGGTACCAGAGATGCGAGCCCATTTGCATTCTAAATCTGCTGAAGAACTTGCGTAGTACAACTTAGCCAAGGGAGGTCTCACAATGCCTGCCTCTAGTTATCTTTCGTCCCATAACGTATGCGGTAGGAATCTTGTTCCACTCTTTTCTGGTTACTCTGGCCCCCGATATGTGTGTTCTACTCCTCGTTAATGCCGCTCCGAAGCGCGTAAGCAAGATATGTACTTTGAGGGCTGCCTTCGATGGAACGCGCCTCTCGACATGAAGTCGCAAAAATCTTATTCTAGCTTGTTTTGTTCATGTGCAGGTCCTATCGGAACGATCACATCGCAAAACCTCAGAAGACTCAACCTTTCTAACAACAGGTTCACTGGCAAGTTACCGGAACAGCTTGGAGAGTGTGAATTAGTGGATTTAAGTGGAAACGGCCTTTTTGGAGATCTTCTGGCGATGCAAAATTGGGCTCAAAGTCTGAAATGGCTTGATTTGAGTAGTAATCAGCTGGTCGGAAACCTACCTGAAATGGTAGTGAATAATCTTTTCCGCTTGACTCACTTAAACCTTTCCCACAATAGGCTTACAGGTGCAGTCCCATCAGAATATGGGTCATCTCGTAGTCTCAAGAGTATTGACTTGAGTTACAACCTTCTCGAAGGGGAGACGCCTCCGGATTTGTTTTATGCATCGATCAGCGACCTGCTACTTTCAAATAACCGACTGACAGGGCCAATACCACTTCCAGATGCTTCTACTTCCTCTCCTGGAAACAATCTTACAAGCTCACCTTCCAGATACGCACAGGCAGATACGCGACCGATGTCACCACTTGAAGTATTAGATCTGTCAGCAAACAACCTTGTCGAAAATATACCTGACAGGATTGGATCTTTGGTCAATTTGCGGATCTTGAAGCTCAGTACTAATCGTCTTACTGGCACACTACCTGACACCCTAAGCGAACTGAAGCAACTGCAGACCCTTGATTTCTCAAGAAACCAACTGTCTGGACCCTTACCCGATCAGCTTCCTTCTAGTCTAGTGGCCTTGAACCTCTCTAACAATCACTTCACTGGGACAGTTCCCATGAACCTTACAAGATTCGGTGAATCGGCATTTTCTGGGAACGAAAAGCTCCAATGGCCACTCATCACCCCGCCGCCTGGGCGTTTCCCTGGACAAGTGAACATTACACGTAGTGGTAGCAAGATGAGTTCAGGAGTTAAGGCTGGGCTGATAGGAGGCTGCACTGTGGGGGCAGCCCTCGTCGTTGGTATCTGCTTGTTCGTCTACTTCAGGAGTGTTGCAAAATCTAACGATACGTCCCCTGGTTCCGAATTTGGTGGGAGCAAAGGATTCGAGAGATGTGGCAGACCTGGACGAGACTCCACAATCGAATTCGACGCCGACGTGGAGAGGTCCACACTCAACTCCTGCACACCCGTGGCTGCGGTGAAAGGTGCTGCGGCTAGAAGAACGCGTGGAATTCCGACTGAAAACGGTTCGTCTCCGGATGTCAAAATGGAAGAGGGTGATATAATCGGTGGAGGGTTGTTAGTGAGTCGGGGCCATCGGCTCCCATCCGTGACCGAGCGGGATGTCTTGTCTCCCGAGCATCCTCTTGTTACGAAGGTGTCGCCAGAGCATCCTGTTGATATGAAATGCACTGCAGCCCCTGCCCATCTCGTAGGCGATGTATATTTCTTGGACAAGTCAGTGGTGTTCGGTGCCGAAGACTTGTCAAGTGCCCCGGCCGAGATTCTGGGCAAGAGCAGTCATGGAACGTCTTACAAGGCAGTTCTCGAGAATGGACGCGTGCTTACTGTCAAGTGGCTGAAGGAAGGTCTCGCGAAATGCAAGAAGGACTTTGCCCTGGAAGCGAGAAAGTTTGGCAGCGTGAATCACCGTAATGTGGTCTCCTTGAGGGGGTATTATTGGGGTCCACAGGAGCATGAGAAGCTTCTTCTGTCCGACTACATTGAGGGTGGAAGCTTAGCAGGACGCCTCTCCGGTGAGTACTTCAGTGCAAAGCCATTAGACGGCAGTGTTTCTCGCTTCCACATATTATGGTATCTACTCGTATATGGTTGTGCATGAATGTGTCGCCTATGTACAATGTGTTATCCTGCAAGGAGTCTTGTTGGCCTGGAGTTTTCCTTGCAATTGAATCCTGTGTCAAAAGTAGAAACATAGCCCTCTATGTTATAAAATCTCCTATTTATAACTTGAGGGCTTGGTGTCGATGATTCAGAGGTAAACGATAACCAAGGCAACGATCCTGCTTCATGTAATCTGGCACCAGATCTGAACCATATAACTGAACGGGGTAAAAATGCAGACCTTGCGTGTGTTCAGTAGTCTTTCAGTTGGAGTTTCTGAAGCGTTATTGCTGTCGTTTCGAAAGAATTTTTCAATGCGTGTTCCATGATGTTGCTTCAGAATTTTAAAGTCTGGGCAGTTGGTTTCCTCGCTGATGAATGTTGTTGTGCACAGAGAGTTCAGGGAGAAGATATCCACCCCTCCTTTGGCATCAACGACTTCAGATAGCTGTAGATGTTGCTCGGGGACTCAAGTATCTGCACGAGCAGCACCATTGGCCTCATGGGAACCTGAAAGCCACGAATGTGCTACTCAGAGAGGAGCCTAATTTTCAAGCTTGCCTCTCGGATTTCAGCCTCCATCGCCTCATGACTTCTGCTGGCACCATAAACCAACTTTTAAACTCGGGTGCACTAGGCTATCGTGCACCTGAACTTGCAGCGGCGAAAAAGCCGAAACCCTCACTTAAATCAGACGTGTTTTCTTTCGGTGTCATCTTGATGGAGTTGATCACAGGTAAAAGTGCAGGAGAAATTATATCGGGCAGCATAATATCTGGCAGCTCAGGCGTGGTGGATTTGCCAGATTGGGTGCGCCTGATGGTTCGTGATGGCCATGCTATTGACTGCTATGATACAGCTTTAGTAGGGGTGGATAGAGATCTAGAGCCCCCTAAGGGGATCGAAGACATGCTCACTATTTCTCTCAATTGCGCTGCTTCTCAATCATCCAGGCCTAGCATTAGAGTTGTTTACGAAGAGCTTGCTGCCATTAACCCTGATTGACCAATCGAATTTTCGTACTGTAGGAGTAAAATGTCATCTGTAAAATCAATGTAAAGTGCAAAATTCAAAGAAGTCTTTGTACAGGCTTCAGAAAGGTTCTGGGGAGGACAAGGGGCAGGGCATTCATGATTTAGGTAGGTTAATTGGTTATTAATTGGACGAGTCCTGAATTTATTGCGGCATTGGGTCAGGGATAGCGAAGTGCCTCATTAATGTAGAGGGATGTAGAGAGTTTAGCACATTGTTATGTGCAGGTCTTCCTCTCTTGCTCTCGTTTGCTCCTCTCTTTTCACACATACACACAGACGAGGCTGTAGCCACAAGGCTACCCTGAACTATAATGCTGCAATTGTCTTCATATCTATTGCACATCTTTGGCATGAAATGTTGGGTGCAATTTGTAACGGTAAAAGCTTTCTTCACTCTATGCCTTTTTTCTGTTTGCCTTCCTTTTTCTGTGTGTACCTTCCTGTCGCTGTCTTATTCCGGGGAATCGACCACGTCACATCTCACGTCACGTCTCACGAATTCGTCTTAGACGGCGCCTCCCTCAAACGAGTCCTGAAAGGCTGTTTGTGTTGCGTATTGACTTTTGGGCGCATACCCTCCCGTTATTAGTCGTCCCTACATGGTGGAATAGCTAAGTCTTTCCTTGCCAGTGGTTTTCCTGATGACTCATTTTGCAATTATCCACCTTTTTGGCGAGGTTATATTGATATTTTGGATTTTATCGTTTACCTGTTCACTTCAGGGTGCTTCTGTTTTCAGGACTGTCTGTTATCTCTCAGAAAGGACGACTAGTGACCCAATTATATTTACAGAGCAGACCAGGGTTCGTGAATACTGTATCAGAGCAGAAAGGTATTTTCTAGTCTATCTAGTATAATCTCGTCTATCTATAGTCTATGTGAAGTTTGAGTCCGGCTCGGAAGGTCCAATTGCAGCGACCACGGCGGAGGAGCTCGCAAATTCTACTCCGAACGTGAAAATTGCATGTGGCGGTGTAGCTTTTCCATACATCGGAAGTAGCGATATCTTTACCTTCGTTCACTTGCAGATTTCTTTCACTGACGCAATTCTTGCACTTCGTATATGAGGAGTGAATTCTGCTAGGCAAGTCGCACCGGATTACGTCAGAGTTTTCTGGAATCTTCTGGGACTTGAGGAAGTATACTCAGCCTCGTTGAAGATGGTAGCGTTCGCGTTCTCCTGTGGTGTCTTCTGTCACCGATGACGTAATATCATACGCATAATCAATTTTACAAAACCCGAGCTGTTCCAGATCAATTGAAGTCTAACGATTAGATACGTTGCCTTCAGATCTACCATTAATTTTCATTGACTGCCGCCGCTACCTCCCCTTTTTGTACAAGTAGTCGTAAAGTCTCTTCTTCGGCCACGGCTCAGTCCTGACACCCTGTGGGTATGGAGAAGACTTGCATGATACTGAAGATGATCTTCTGGGTCAAACCAGACGATTCTGTGAGTGTAATCAAGCTGTAAGCTTGACTATTCACAGCTTGACTGTTGTCCAGCGTACAGGTTACAGCGATAATGCAAAGGACGGGTTAATAACCCAGTCGACGGCCACCGTTATCACTATCCGGAGTTGAATTGAATCGCGCAAGCCCTATCCCGGTGACCGGTCACCCAGGCGTGCAGGCCGCCGGCGTGAGGGACTAACTCATGCGCAGAAGGCGAACTGAAATTGTAATCTTACAACTCTCTCTGAAGAAGACGTAAGCTAAGAGGAAAATTTACTTCGAATCTGCACCCTCCAATCTGCTTCGACCAAATAGCCATGCAGCCCAGATAAATTGATGTCTCCAATCTTGCGGGTTGAGCAGGGTTGAATTGGATTTTGGCCAATGTGAGATTGCTGCCTCAGGTGGAAACAAGATCATTATCTTCGTTTACCCACTCACAAACCGAGTTCTGTGAACTGAGCGTCGGAAATACACTGGACCAGCGTAAGCCAGGGTTATCAACCGGAACAAGTGACCCCAACGACGAGCATTCTAGGTAAAAGGTCAGTGACAGCGAGAGTACATGGGGTATGAACAAGCATCTTAAGAGCGACGAACGATACAAGCTACGAGGCGAAGCTCGCGACGACGGAAAACTGAACCACGCCGATTTTGTGACGAATCTGTCGTCACAAAATCTAGTTCAGGGAATTGAAACTGTCATCAGTCGAGAGTAGAGTCTCTCCACTGCAATTAAGTGCACCCTTTATGGTCGAGCGAGGTTTGAAACGCAATGCATTTCTGCCAGAAGCCGCGCCGAAGGAATAAGAGGTTTTATTGGTTAATACATCATGTTCCGATAAATTTAGTAGTACTGTACTCTCGAAGAATCAAGATTCTCAAACTCCGCAACACACTTCCAGATTCATAAAATTGCCGTCTAGATTGCTACATTAGAACAAAGCATTGTTTAATGAGACCAAAATAGCAGCAGAATGAAAGATTCAGCTCTTTCGAACGAAAGCTCAGATTCGGATGAAAACTGTTGAACCTGATTCCCGTTACCTCATCATGGAGATTGCGCCTTTCAAGAATTATAAGGTCTGTCGGTTTCTTTGTTGAAAAATCGAACAACCCCGGAAGAGTCATAACAGCGTAATCCTGCCTGTTAGAGATGGAGAGAGCAGAACTGTCATCACACGTTCGAGCACTTTGCTCCTCTCGGGTCTCGGCGCATAAGCATCAGTGGAAATATGGATCTCGTAAGCGCTGTTCAGTGCAAATTTGGCAGAGCAGCGAAGGCTTGAAGGATCGCCCCCTGCTCTGCACGGAAGACACCCTAGAGTCCACAAATCCATTCGGAAGCTCATCGCCTCCTCCTCTTGCTCTGCCACGTGTCAAATAGGGTCCGTCTCTGCTTCCAGCTCCTGGATGATGGAGGCAGCAGGTGTGCTGCCCAAGCTTTGCACAACGTTTGTGAAATCGACGAACGAGGACCGCTCGATGACTGCGTTCGAGTGTCTCTCAGTCTGGTACGGCCATGCGCGCAGCTCAACGTCCCTCTGAATTCGAGGTGGCCGGACAAACTGGCGGCAAGCGTGTCCTCTGCTCTGAATTCGAAAATTTCCCCATATAGTGTTCAAATTGAGAGCGTACGGATTGCTCTTGAGATGACATCCTTGGCCAGTGGAGAATTTCTCTGTTTTGACGATGGGATTTGAGATTCTCCCCATGAATTTGGGTCGACATTCTATGTAGTAACGCACTAGACGTGATGCATCTAATTAGTGCTCTTGCAGCGATGTACAGGGACGAGCAACCTGAATTCGTGCGGTTTTCAAGGGAGTGTGCGTTGACAAGATCTGCAGCAACTTGTAATTTGAAATTGGTGCGTGGAATGATGAAATTCTTTGGGTTGTTTCTGTGTACACGGCATCGAGTTTTCTAGTGGAGTTGCCATGATTGCATTATTGTTTCCATTTACCTCGTATCAGGAATTAGGGGCAATACTTGTTCATGCTTTTCTCTTTTGTTTTTATTACGCCGCGAGACCATGAGGATGTCCTAAGCTGCCGGAAGAGTGCTTGTGGCTTTGGATGTGCAGATCGTTCCTACCATTGTACACTAGTTAATGAGTATGAGCCGGATGCAGCTATATAGTATGTAGCTGTCAATTGGTTTGTAGTTATGGCTGCACTCACGGCAGTGAACTGCAAGCTTTCCGTCCATGACTCACTTGGACTCGGAGAAGATTATTACTTGGCCAGACAAAGGGCACCTTGTGTTCGAAAGATTGACTCCTCTTGTAAGTTTGACCAGAGAAGCCAGCATTGGTCGGCGATGAAACTCTTGAGCGGGAATCAGACTACGCGGTGTTGTTTACCCTGTGTTTATTTCTCCACAGTAGTTGATGGATTGAAGTCAGGAGGTGAAATATATTTTCGTTCTCAAAACTGGCCGAAGTACGGATCGAAACATGGCAAAATTGAGGTGACCGTTAGGACGGTCGAGAGGGGTCGCACAGGATTTCATTGGATACACAGGCTTCGAATCGGTTCTTTTAAAGTATCAGTTGGTTTCCAGCCAAGGATCTCTCGCAAAGTTTTGAAATGCACCGCAGCTGTAGATGGAGATGGATCTTCCAAAGATCGTTCTGTCCATTTTATTGGGATTGGCGGCTCGGGTTTGTCAGCTCTTGCTTTATTGGCTCTACAGCAGGTATTGTTCCTCCTCCCAACTCTTACTTTTCCCTGAAATAAACGAGCATGTTTAGAACCTACAAATTTGACGTCTGAAACTTGCTGTCGCGTGCACTTTTTTGATCGTTTTCCTGAATTGGACGGAGGTCTTCGGTTGTGTCCCCAAATACTTCTTTCATATTGGACTTTAAGCCTACAGCAATGAGTAAAGAGATACTGGTGCCGAGGAAGAACATCTTTTAGCTTATGCCTTCAAGTACTCTCCCTGCTCATTTTTTTGTTGGGTTTCATGGATAGGGTCGTTAATATCCGGGTCTTGTTGATTTATTAAACTGCATAGATTGGAGATCAATTCTGATGCCCTTTCTATTACGTTCTTTCCTTTATCTTGAGAGCGCACAGTGCCCTTTCGAATTGCTACGTGTGATGAGGAATCTTGTGATCATGTTTTGGTGATGGCAGGGATGGAAGGTTAGTGGGTCAGATGCCACTTTCAACGAACGACTGGAGAAGCTGAAAGCAGCAGGAGCAAGAGTGTACGTTGGTCATGCAGCAAGACATGTGGTCGATACACCGAATAATTCACCCCCAGATGCAGTCGTTGTCTCTAGTTCTATTCCAGTTAACAATGTGGAGGTAGAGGCTGCTCAGGCTCTCGGCGTACCAATGTAAGTCAGTAATTTCGTACAACATGTTCACAACATAAACAATCGTGGATACTACCAACTTGGAATTGTCCTGCCTCATGCGTCCAGTCGATTTTGGCACATTATCAGATTCACTTGCAAGAGATGTAGAAGTAGGGAATTTATTTTCTTTGTTTTGGTCATGGCACCATGATTTCAGACGACTTGCAAACACGTCAATTTAGATGCAATATCTCCCGAAACGTGTATTTTTGGAAACTGGACCAATTGTACGTGGACGTACAATTGAATGTTACTAAACCAAAACAATATGGCGAGGGTTGTCCTTTGTTAAACAAGCATGAGGTCATTGGAGGAGATTGTTGATGACTTGGGGCTCGAAACTAAAGCATCTCGTTTTACAGATACAAGAGGGCCGATTGGCTTGGAAGAATTACTGAAGGCTATGAACTCCTTGCTGTGGCTGGTTCACATGGTATTTAGAATATGCCTACTTCCCCGACGTTGAAACTCCCGGGAAATATTGTGGAAAGGAACAAAATGTTTTGAAGACTAGTAGATATTGAGTAGTTCGTTATTCCCATGTGTTCAACTTCTGAAGGACAATTCTTCTAAAATCCTTGACTGGTTTGATTATGTAGGAAAGAGCACCACTGCCGCCATGCTAGCCATTATCTTGACAGAACTGGGACATAACATAACCGCCATTGTTGGGGCTGAAGTTCCTCAGGTAATATTTGATATAATCATTCCAAAACCTCTGATCAGAGTGCAAGAAGAAGCAATTTGCTCATATTGAAACTTCAGCAAACAATGAAGTCCTCCAGAGTTTGCAGACTGTTTGTATGAAGGAAACCGTCTAGCTGTATGTTGAAGTCAGCTGTGTTGCTAACTTGACGCCACAATTCAAGATATTAATCCGATGATTGCAAAGATGGTATATTTTGATTATGAATTTGGAAATTTCATATCATGAAGTAAACTTCATGCCGATGGGAACTTATCTGTTTTCCTCCCTCTTTTTGTAGTTTCCAGGTGGTAGCAATGCAATTTGTGGCCGCGGGCAACGCTTTGTTCTAGAGGTTGGACTTTCACATTGAGTGGCTCAAGAATGTGCCACATTTCGATCTGTTTCAACATGTTTATTTTGATGTAGTCTGCGTCAGGTTGCTGATGTAGGATTCACACGTTTTGAAGGAACTCAGCGAGTCACTTGCTAGATGTGATGACAATTAAGGACGAAAACCTCCCGTGATCCTCGCACATTCCTGAAGTGAAGACAGGCCTGTTCTGTTGGAAAATGACTTAGTGCAAGTTGCACAGTGTTACAGGCCGACGAATATGATGGTTGTTTCTTGGGTGTTGCACCTTCTTTAGCAGTTGTGACGAACGTTGAGTGGGAGCATGTGGACTTCTTCCCTGATGAGGTATTTGTTCTAATATTATGTCTGCAAATTTAAGCACCAGTATCATACAGAGATTAACAAACCTAAATCTGTTACGTAACTTCGCTGAGCACATATGGCGGTTTTGAAAGTCAAGCCGGGGTTGATTTGTGTTATTTACTCTTTTGCATCACAGCTTTATTGTGATGCCCATTACGGCAATTAATATATAAGTTGGGAAGACATGCTAAGATTTGTTGAAATTACAAAGATGTGGGACAGTGCAGGCATCTGTGAGAAAAATCTTCAGGCAATTTGCACTACGAATAAATCCAGGAGGTACCCTTGTGGTATGTGGTGACACGTAAGTCCGTTCATTACTACTTCCTCACCTCATTGGGCACAAGTTTCGCAAACATTTAAAATTTAACGAGTTTTGAGCAGCTCTAGTAATCTCGAAGATAATAAATTTTGTACTAAACGACAGTTTTTTCTCTGAATATCAGTGCTGGCTCGAAGCTTTTGAGTACTGTCTTTCAGACTGACAAGACAAAGGACAGCACCGGCGCAATTACGACCACTGAGTCTCAATGTGATAGCGATTCACGTCATGTGGTGACATATGGTCTTGGAGATGGAAATGACTGGCAAGCCGTCATGTTGGCGCCTAACGTTCAAAGTGGAACTGACTATGTAGTTGTAAGTGTAGTTACTTACACTCTTCATAGATTATTTGATTTCAAACAGAAGGCTAAATTTCTTCTTTACTGAAGACTAGCTCAGCAGGGACTAGTTACACACAAAGTAGCACCCACCTCTCTATCAATATAGCATCGTTATTTCATGGGGAATATCTAAATGCATACATGTATTTGTATCATCAGGTGAACTCAGGTAGACCCATGGCGAGGGTAACTCTACAGTTACCAGGAACTCATAATGTTCTCAACTCACTTGCGGTGAATATCTGAACTTTAATTTCTTGGCGGGTTCACTGCCCATCAGTTCTAATATACACTTCTGTTTCGGTTGAGTATCTCTTTTCAGCATACTTGTTTAAGGCCTAGCTATTTAGGTAGTACAGCGAAACTTGAAATAAGCGTCTGGAGAGAACATCTATTTTGCCTTGGTATATTGACGCTGAAACTTTTTCATCAGACCGGTGGTGAACTTTTTTTGTCTTGTTCACCGTACTGATTAATGGATTACTGCAGGCTATCGTCGTAGCGTCTTTATTAGCTTCTCGGGACAATTCAAGTTCCAGTATTGAAGGCAACTTCGCTGCCATGAAGAAAGCAGCAGAAGCAGCTAGTGAGGCTTTGTCTGGATTCGTTGGGATTCGGAGGAGATTCGAGCTCGTCGGAAAGTGGAAAAATTGCTGCATATACGACGACTATGCACATCATCCAACGGAAGTGCGAGCTGTTCTTCAAGCAGCTCGACAAAGATTTGATCAGCAACCCATATGGGTTGTCTTTCAACCACATACCTACAGGTAGGGCTGGGCTCTTCGTCTCCTCTTTGACTTACATTAACTGATTAATTTTGACTCAGTGATATAATTAGTGAACACATTAACTGTAAGGAGCTGAGATTCTTTCTCTATTTTTTTGCAGTCGTTTGGCAAAATTGCTACATGACTTCGCCCCTGCATTCAGTGCTGCCGACAGGGTTATCATCACTGAGGTTAGGATCATCTGCCGTGGTGTCTACCACCTTTTAGTTCGTTTCATATATAAGGAATTATATGGCTTCATATTGATACTCATTTAGGCACCACACAGCCTTCAAATTTACTGCTCTGTACATCATCTGATTTAAGAAGGCAAGTACTCACTTTGTTTTACGCGATTGATGGATCCAGGTATACTCTGCACGAGAAGACAACATTTGGGACATAAGCGGTGCCGACTTGGCAGCTGTAGTTACCGGTCCGCCCTCCATATTTGTATCGACATTAGTAAGTCTTCTCGATCCTGATTTTCGGCCACTTTCCTGTACTCGAGAGAACTCTCAGCGAAGAGTGCCATAAAAATTAGCGTGATGCGGAAACATGTATAAATTTTATCTGGAGTACCAGCAGGATGCGTTGAAAGTCAAAAACCAAGTTTCTTCTTCTTTTCTTTATCATAGTTGCTGACATGTGATAATGTTGCTAAAATATCCTGGATATTCTTAGAGTTATAGTCTTGGTCTAGGAATAAGAATTCGCTTGTTTGTGGACGTATCTCAGGATAAAGTTGTTGAGCGGCTAACATGGGAGTTGGTGCTGTCTGAGGCTATGGGATCCAAGGGCGTGGTTCTGCTGACTCTAGGAGCAGGTACAGTAATTGAAGATATTCGGGAATCTTTTAAATTTGAGTATCGTTGAGAGTTATGAGTGTGAAGAACTAAAAGTAAGTCATGACATGTCGAAGCATATTTATGTTAGTGGGATTCCGAGTGTTTGGAATTCTTAGCTCAAATCTCGCAGTAGCTTATTTTGCAACTCGCATCAAATCCCCGATATTTTCTCCTTCAGAAAAAAATTAAATGTTACACCATGCAATCGTGTTCACGGCATCAGGGGTTTTTTCATCTCAATTTGATTTTATATAAAACATCGGGTATCCTTGTTCGGAATCCATCTGACAATAATGAGGAGAACTGGGCTTCTTTTGGTGCTCTTTTGAGTTTGTTCTTGGAAGCCCGTAACAAATAGAGTATCTGATTGTTTGGTATTCCGGTGCTCTTTCTCGTGGCTTTTGGTGTGGTATTTCAGACTGAAATTCAGATTCCAAAGCTATTTAAAACATTGAAATAGCTTTGTGGAACTGCTAAGATAAAATATGCATATAAAATAGCTGATGTTTTTTTCTCTTGTTTGACATTTTGTAGGTGATATAACAGACGTAGGATATGAGCTTTTGAAGGCTCTCTCGACCAAGTAATTTTTGGTTATCGCAAATGTCGACTACGATAGGTATTAGGCATCAGTTCTAGCTGGACTTATGCGGAGTTCAGTGGCTTTGTCAAGTTTTTTTATTCAAATTCATTGCTCAACATCCACGTTGAAAGTTTTGATGACGAGATTGGGCACAAATCCAAGAGAGAATTGTAAATGGTCTCGCTAGCTCAGCAACACCATTTTGCTCTGAATTACATGATTAGTACTGTTATATAATGCATCTCCATTTCTTCTAAAAGTAATTCTTGCCACTATTTAGATGTGAATATCTCAATTCCTTCTAGTTTGATTTTCAAAAGAAAACTTCTAATTGTTTTTGAGTTTTCCTGCATGGAATAAATCCATCAGTAGTACTAATAATCATCAAGGAGAATTGATATACGATTTTTGTTCTAGAATTTGAGTAGGAAGAAATGAACCCAATAAACATACTTGAAAAAACAGAAGATTTATGCACACAACATTGTGTGGTTTTCTAAATACAAATCCTCTTAACTATGTATTTCGCATTGTCTCATTATGGGTATTAAAGATTATTAGTTTAAGTAGTCAAGATATTTATTTACTGATATGATTGGTTCCGACACTTCACAATAGAAAGCTTCTTACTGAGACTATTGCATAGCTCTCCATCAAATATTATTGCTCTTTCCATAAGTAATTTTTTCTCAAGCCTTTCTTGCCACAAAAGCTAAACACTTATTGTCAACATCTAATTTTCATCTAGCTCTCTATGAAAAGTTGTAGACTTAACCACAATAGGAATATAACTATGAACACATGTTTCAAAATGTTTAACTCTTAAAATACATTACATTTTAATGATTGATACTCAAATGTGCATTATAATAAAAATAAAAAATATCACATAACTCATTTTTATATATTTCTGAATATCAAATCCCAAAAGTATTAGAAGTATAGGAAAATGTTTTGTAAAATTGTCAAATTCAAGAATATGTAAATTTCAAGAATTTATCATATTCAAGATCATTATTATTGCACATCTATGAAATAATTTAGAAAATTTATTTCACTACTATCAGTTAGTGCTACAAATAAAGTTAAATCATGTCACAATTGTAGAGAGTAAAGTCAAGTGCATCCAAATACTGTCAAAGCAAAAATTCATAGGCATAGACATAACCTACGCTAGACATATGTGGTTTATTACTGAGGATTAAGTCCATAGAACACCTTAGTTTGACTAAAACATATACTAAAGATTGTCATCGTGAGCTCTCTTATAAAATTTTAGTCTAACCAATTTAACTAACTAGGATTAAGCTAGCTTGAATAAAATGAAGACTTGAGTGAATTTTAACAAATTATCTCTTAATCCATGTAATGAGTATCATAATCTTCATCGCTTATATAAATATTATACAGAAAGTTTTAAAAAGAAATCTAAAAGATGTTATTCTGTAAATTAGAATCATGTTTTGAGTCAGATTATGTATAGAGGTAACAAGATTATTTGTAAATCTTACTTGTGCTACTCTAAAATATCTGCAAAGTAGCACAATGTCTTCTAGAACTCTCTAAAGAGATAACCTTGGTCGTTGCATTAGATGCACGGAGTCACCAACAATTTTGACTAGTTCAAGATTTTTTTTATCAAAACTTCCATCTTTTCATAGGTCAATATTGGATGTCAATATGTTTCACCTTGCTACCAACATTTGATTGAAATCAAGATGTAACATCTTTCTTACTATCAAAATGAAGCTTTACTATCAATGAATTTTCATTCCGATCTAAGTGCATTAAATTCTATGGTTTTATTTAAATTTTCATTCTTTTATTGCCATTACATATTCAGCTTTTGTATTTAGTTTTAGCTAATCATTTTTCCAAAATGGTACGAACTAGTGCTCTAATCATCAAATGTACATTTTCACTGTTCTAGATCTTGTATATAGTTAATATCAATGTAACATAACAAAGATTTGACTTTAGATAATAAATCATTTGTTTTTATGACAATAAATCATCAAAAAAATATATCATCATATATATATCATAATCCTTAGTACTCTTGAGTTATTTAAGAATTCACTTCAAATCTTCAAAATGCATTATACTTGAATTTGACATGAACCTGTTCATCTTGTCCAAAGCTAGAGCAATCTTAGGTTTCATGTATATTATCAAATACACGAGTCAGATCATTACTTTTCAGATAAAAACGTGATGATATCTTTGAGTTTTTAATGTGTTATGAATTAGACATTGAGTTTTAGATTGCTTGAAGTGTAAGGTCAAAAGAGACCAAACTTCTTTGAGTTTGTACTGTTAAAAAATCCAAGCAAGCGTTGAATTCACTTGCATTGATTTATTCATAGGTTTTTTCTTCAAACTCATGTGAACATTCATCTTTAATATACTTCTGAATGTATCCAACTTTTTTATTTTGAATGCATGTTTTAGGTGAATCTTGTATCTATTCTTGTTAGATTGATTTTTTGCTAAAGTGATTATGCCATTCAATTATACAACCAGAAAAACTAGATTAAAGATCTCATTTTTCAACTTCTCATGTATATACATGGGCCATATACACTCTTTGAAAAACTTTATGACTTTATAAACTTATCACACCTTGCATTCCACTGTCTAGGAGTTTGTTCCAATTAATACAATGATTTCAACAAATTACAAACCAATTCTTTTTAAAATTGTATCATTAATATGAACTGATTGTCTTATTTAAATAATTTAATTACGTCCATTTCATCTATACTCTGATTAAAAATGGCAACAAGTGCATATATGAATCAAATTGTAGAATAATTTGCTACAAGTGAGAAAATTGTGTTATATAAATTATTTTTAACATAATTTAGATTATCTCCTTGTAATGTACTTGCTAGCCAAAATTTTACTTTTTTTTTAATGAGATTTAATGGACTATATAATTTTTTTTAAAAAGATATGTTTTGTTATAAATTTATTAAGAAATATTTAAAAAAAATTTAAATTCTTGGTGAATTTTAATTAATAAAATTTTATAAATATAGTTTTTTCCAAATTTTTCTTAAAAATATAACCTTTTTCATTCTAAAATGCTAATTTCTGTTTCATTTTCTAAATCATATTAATCCAGTTTATGACAAATGTAGAAGAATTTGTTTATCTATGGTTTTCGGAAATTTTTTTGTTAATTTAATGATGAATATTTTTTTTTCCTTTTTATTTTATATGTTTTATAATTGTAATTGTAAGTATATAAGTATATATCTTGCTACAAATATATACTTATATAGTAATATATATCATCTTTTCAAAATTTCAAGGAGATTATAACTGATAATTATTGTACTTAAAATTTTGAAAGTTCCTCAAATATAGAAATATTCAAATTTGAATTATTTGACTCAAAATCCATTTTTCAATAACAAACTGTTACGTATAGATTTATAATTTTCATTTCATTTTAAGTAAGTATTTATGAATGCTTCTAGGTATTAGGTCAACCATAATAAACATATGGCTTACGCTGAGGATTGACAACTATCAATCTTCTGGGCACTAGAGTGGATTTATTTTTAAAAGAATAAGTCAATTTGATAATTATTTAGGATATTTATTATTTATAGTTATTTATGAATATTTATTATCTATGCTAATTATTTAATATGGATTTCATATAAAATTCCATTGTAGCTCCAAAATTATCATATGAAGTTGAATGACTAAAATAGTCACATTGTGTTAAAATAACATTCAAATATGGAAGTCATTGTAATGGACGTATCCTACATGTGATAATTTATGTGAAATCACAGTAATGCGAAATGTATTTATACATCATTTGACATATGCACTTTTGAATGAGCATTTATTTGTACCGCAATGATAAGTAACTCAACACCGGGCAACTTCAGACCGTTCAACACGGAGGTCAGTAGAAATTAAGCTCTGATTTCTTGAAATTAAGGATCGCAGTCTGTAACGACCGAAGCTGAGGTCTGGTACAGAGCGTCCGCTCCAGCCGGTCACTTTTTGAATCTTCGAATATTTTTCGAGCATGTTCGAAAGGGCCAGACGTTTGTTTGTAACCTAACAGTTGCTACCGTTAATTAAGCCTTTTGTCTGCTAGTGGCGTATTAAAACCAGCGACGGGATGTGACGATGTGACGCGACGAGGCCTGGATTTCAAGAAGGAAATTTGATCTTGGAGGAATCAGAGATTGACGGGCCTTCGTGTTTCAAGACTGTCCGCGATCGGATGAAATATCTCCGACCTGCGCTGCGCAATCTGAGAAAGTCGTGCTCATGGCTCGAGGGAAGCTTCAACTCTCAGATGAATTTTGAAGCCGGAGGATGAAAATCTGGATGATGCAGTTTAAGACTTAAAGTATTTTTTCGCAGGTTTTCGCCCGAGCGAGGGATGCAGGTTCTCGCCTAATCCTTCGATGCCACTGAGATGCACTGGAATCGCAAGTTTTCGACGGAAGAATCGAAGGTGATAAAATCTCCACTCTTACCTTCTACCTGTTCTGCGATTTGAAGCAGAAGATCTTACTGCCTAGATCATCCTTCCCTACAGGAATTCCTCATGATTCCCACCTACTCCTTGAAAACATTATAGAAAAAGACAATCACCCGCTCGAATTCTGAGCCTGATGCATATTGACAAAAGTTCACGCTCGGTGGTAACCCAAAAGGTAATAAGTAATGCAAGTACGTTTTTCTCAGCAGTGAAGTACATCCATATATGACAGGTACTACTCTCCCCCCTCTCCAATTATATATCAACCTGCAGATAAATCCAGCAATCATTACGGGAGAATGACTTTAGGAACCAAACAAGCATTTGAATAGCCTAAAGAGCATCAGATGCACCAAACAGAAAGGCATTCGAAGATACCGAGTCGTACAACCAGAATCTGATCTGATAGGTGTGATACTCCTAGCAGTCCTCGTTTTCAGTTGTGATCTTCTATGGCAACAGCCGTATATTGCCTATGAAACTGGCGGTACCATTCCTCAGACCTTCTACAAAATACGTTGAAGGTCAAGGACGCTGCAGCGTCCAGTACGAAAGGTCATACGTCTCGTAAATTTCGCCACCGGCATGGTGGACGTCGACCGTGCATGAGCTGCTCATCACATGACTGCTGAACGCAGGACATTCGGTCGTAATGTCATGTCCTGAATCGGGATCATTGAGGGGCACTTTTACGGTGGAATGCTCCCAGCGGTGCTCGCATTGCGGACATAAAAGCGTACAGCCTGTGAAGCAGAGAGGATCACTGCTTCTGGCCCACGTTCCGGAAGTAGAGTATCGCGCTGCGACGTACATGAAGCCTGTGCAGGCAGGCACACGGAGTCCGTGGCTATGGGAAGAGTGCACGATAATGTAACGGGATGAGATCGTTCGATAAGCTCGCTGAGTTTCTTTTCGCAGAAGGCGCGGGCAGCGCGGATCCATGGCCACATCAGACACACGATCGACGAGCGACGATCCCGGGCTGCCGCTGCTATAAAGCGCGACGAAGCGAGTGCTTTGGAAGAACGGATAGGGACTCATGACCAGATTTTGGATCGGGCTACGGCCAGCCTAGAACGATGTGAGCTGCGAAATGCCTGCAGTTGCAGTAGCTGTGAATTGACATGTCTTGTTCCTTAGTCATCACATGTTTGTTAGTAATCTTCTTCTTCTAAACATCTGACGATTCATATGGTTCTGGTGGTCTCACATAGCATGCTTGCCAACTCCAAGGATTTCAGCTCCGGGAAATTCAAATTCCATTTTGTATCTTACAGCTACCTGCTATAGTTGAGAGTCGGTTTCAAATGCTAATTTTCCGATGCCTTTCGTCAGGAGTCACATTCGAGGCCGACGAAATTATAATGGTGGACTCGAGATTATGTTGAAACTACAAGATTCTTTATGCTGGCAACAGGTCTTCATCATTGAGAGGATGGAAGAATGCCAAAATTGCATAGACTCAAGATACACTAATGTGTTGAAATTAGGATGCACATAACCTTCGTAATATTCAGAATTCATCTCTTGAAAGCCTTCCTAGTGTTGCAGTCCGGCCAATTTGCCTGGTGAGAAGTAGGGACTGATGCTTTGTGAACTGCATGATGTCGTTTCTCCCTTCAACCACATTGTTTTTAAGCTCCTACATTTTCACGTGGAAACTAGCTATTTCTAATTTCTGTTCCAAGATGATTAGAGGTCTGTACATATCTGATGACCTACCTATAATTTCTGTACAAGCGTAATTTGACAATTTGAAGCTTATCGTTCTCAGCTCTTTTGCAACACAATCGTGAAGGTCGAGTAAAGATGAACTTAGTTCTAATAACTTACGAAGATTGTTCATTCATGACGCACGAGTGTCCCCATCATTTGTCAGACTGAAAAGTATACACCTACTAGACTTTGAAAGTTCTGTATATCAGATGCTAGAATATAGATGCGGAACTTATGTATTTGTCGCAGCGAAGTAGATTTAGTTTAAAGGAAGCAAGAAAGATTTTTTTGTTGTTGGCGTTTTCAAGTTTCTTATGAAGCTTAATGATTCTCGGAAATAATGCAGGCTTTGAGGTAATTCTGTCAACTGAATTCGAAGCCCAATTTTGATCAATCCGGTGGGACACTCAAGCAACCAGAAGCCTTTACAGAGAGAAGGATGAGAGTATACGTACTGGCAGTGCTGCTGTTGATCCAGCACCTGCTGGCTCAAAACATGAGTGGAGCTTCCTCAGGATCATCGTATGCTTGTACGAACAGCGAATCCAAGTCGTGGGCATTTTGCGATAAAGCTCTTTCCATCGAAAAGCGCGTCGCAGATTTAATCTCCCGACTCAGCTTGCAAGAGAAGATTTCTCAATTGGGGAATGGAGCTGACGATATATCCAGTATCGACGTTCCTGCTTACCAGTGGTGGGGTGAAGCGTTGCATGGTGTAGCATCCAGTCCTTCCGTGCACTGGGATGGTCCTGTGAAAGGAGCTACAAGCTTTCCAATGCCCATCTCATTGGCAGCATCGTTCAACAAATCGTTATGGAATAAAATTGGTCAGGTATGCGCCACTAAAATTCACTATCCGCCAGAAATAGTAGCTACTATTTCGATAAATAAGTACAACATGAGCTTGACAATCTCGACAATTTGGACCCTTGCAAGCATGCATCACAGAGTGGAAGTTGAAACTCTGCATACGAATGCAGCGTCGATGCTGGATAGATCGTGCAGAAAGAACTGATTCTCATGAGATTCCTTCTGAAAATATCAAGTGAGAACAATGGTTGGCCAAAACAAAAACTATGGACTTTTCATGATAGGAGAAAGATCTCTAGAGACGGAATTGTGAAATTCCTCGACATCGAGTCGCGGATTAACCTGCATGGAGACTGGTATCAGTTGAACTTCTCTTTTTGGTCCTTCGTAGATGAACTTTTGAATTGCTATTAACTACACCAGTCTTCGTCTCCGATACTTCATTCCAGGTGATATCAACTGAAGGCCGAGCGATGCACAACTTAAAGCAATCAGGGCTGACTTTCTGGTCTCCGGTAATCAATCTGGTCCGAGACCCCCGATGGGGAAGAGTGCAAGAAACTCCTGGAGAGGACCCATACCTCATTGGACAATATTCAGTTTATTTTGTGAGAGGGATGCAAGAGGCGAAAGATTACGACCCTTCAAACCAAGACGACGATGGAAATGAATATTTTGCTCTGAAAACGTCTGCTTGCTGCAAGCACTACACAGCATATGATCTGGACAACTGGCACGGCATCGAGCGCTACTACTTCAATGCTGAGGTATAGCTCTCGTGATTGAATTTTAACTTCTGATTTATCTTCATATGGAAGCAGTGTGTGAGTACAGTCCGTTTCTGCAGGCCAACGACTACCAGTAAATGTACATAATGCTCAGTCGGTTAATGTACATTCTGTACCTTTAAGCCTCAATCGCAGAATGGCAGCAGTACAAAGATAAGATACACAGCTTGCACATTAACGACTGACCAAGTTATCGCGCCGATTCCTTTTGAAGGTGACTAAACAAGACTTGGCCGATACGTACAATCCACCGTTCCAAAGTTGTGTTCAAGAAGGAAGAGCTAGTTGTTTGATGTGCTCTTACAATAAGGTCAATGGAGTCCCCACATGCGGAGACCCAGATCTTCTCAAAGGGATTGTAAGGAAGGCATGGGGCCTTCGAGGGTAAGTCTTGAGGCTGAGCTGACATCTGAGACCTTCACACCGAGCAATTTAACGTTATTTGTGTCAAAGTAAATTTTTCACATGCTGCGATTTGGCTATGCTGACATGCTTGTATCTTATGACGTGGCAGCTACATTGTTACTGATTGTGACTCGTTGCTCGTCATGTACGACCAGTCACGTTATTCTAGAAGTCCTGCAGAGGCAATCGCAACTGCCATGCTAGCAGGTTATCAAATCATTCTCCTGAATTTGTGCAAATTGATGCGCTGTTTACGATCCACACTTACTAACGCAGATCAGCATTCTCACCCACCAAAGCTTACTTGTAGTAGTTGATGATCTGTTCAACTGTAGACATGGATCACGAGACGAGAGGGATACATGACCACTTGGCGTACTCCTAATACTTGTGGTGAGGAAATTGTTGCGATGTGAACAGGGCTTGATTTAAATTGCGGATCTACAATAAAAAACCATGGAGCCACTGCTGTTAATCAAAGCCTGATATCTGAAGACGATATCGATCGAGCTCTGAGCAATACACTCACCGTTCTAATGAGACTGGGAATATTCGACGGAAGCCCCCTAGATCAACCTTATGGAAGTCTGGGAGAAGATGACATTTGCAGTGACGAACATCAGGATTTGGCTAGAGAGGCAGCTGTTCAAGGCATCGTGCTTCTAAAAAATGAGGAGGACAGCTTACCGCTTTCTCCCAGTCAAATCAAAACCTTGGCGATCATAGGGCCAAATGCAGATGATAAGAAATACACAATGCTCGGTAACTATGCAGGTGAAATTCACGGAATCCTACCAATCAGAGGTTGTCAATGTCAGGTGTAGCAGTTTACCTGCGTGCGAGACGTCATTTGTCGTTTCGGAATTTAACTAATCTTTACATGATAAAATCCTGTAATTTACATGAAGCTCTCTAGTCTCCGTTTTGAAGCCTGCAACATCATAATCGACAAGATTTAACGTTTCTTGGCCGTCCGAACTGCAGGTCGACCATGCAAGTATGTCACCCCACTTCAAGGCATATCGACTTATCACATCGACACTGTTGTGTTCGAAACTGGATGCTCCAGTATTGATTGCAGTTCAGATGAGAAGATCGAAGATGCTGTGTCTGCTGCAAAGAAGGCAGACGCCGTGATTCTTGTGATGGGACTCGACCAGGACCTAGAAAGAGAAACATTTGACCGAAACAGCTTAAAATTGCCCGGGAAACAAGAGCTGCTCGTATCATCCGTTGCTAATGTATCAAGTGGTCCAGTTGTGTTAGTACTAATGAGTGGAGGACCATTGGACATATCCTGGGCAAAAACCGATTCTAAAATACAGAGCATCCTGTGGATGGGATACTCTGGCCAGGCCGGAGGTCTAGCTTTAGCTCAGATCATCTTTGGTGACAGAGATCCAGGTGCGTTGATAAATATTTGTGTGAGACTCACCACTGAAGCTCAGAACGAAATTTGTAGGACAGAGACACAACTGAAATTCCTCGTATACCTTCAAAGTAACAATCTAGCAAGAGGAACTCTGCTGACTTCTGTTACTAACTTGTTTCTTTCTGGTTCCAGTTGGGAGGCTGCCAGTGACATGGTACCCGGAAACTATTACGGATTGGCCAATGACAAATATGAACATGCGACCGGACCCTGACAGTGGCTATCCTGGACGAACACACCGTTTCTACAATGGACCTACTGTCTACGAGTTTGGGTATGGCATGAGCTACTCGAAGTCCACGACTACAGAAGTCACTGCACCCACTAACTTCAAAGCACCTGATTTGTTCCAACAGGCCTGCTATCACAAGCGCTTGACAACAGAACAAATCGACTCCATTGGGTGCTTGCAGTCAGATCTCGATGCTTGTATGGAAGCTAGCCTTCCGATGTCCATCACTGTTAAGAATGGAGGACCTACAGCTGTTACAGAGGTAGTTCTTGTGTACCATGTTCCTCCTAGAGCGGGTGAAGGTGGCACTCAATTGAAAGAACTGATTGCCTTCGAGCGAACCGAAGTGCAGTCCTTCTCGTCGAAGATCATTGACCTGACCATAAACCTTTGCTACCATACAAGCACGGTCAAACAAGACGGGACTCGTGCTCTTCAATTGGGTATTCATAAGTTTGTCGTAAGTTCAGGATCCGGAACACCTGCAGAACATAGCTTTTCCGTACAGTGAGTGAGTCTTAGGTACAGAGTCATTGCTTAGAATTGTAGTGAATGAGGATAAAATACGTGTAATTTTTGGTATACAAATTCCAATCTACTCCATCCCTTCAAAACAAAGTTACTTTGTAAAGACTGGGCACGACTTTCTACTTGTTCGAAGACCTAAACGATATTAAGAGTTAGGCCATATTGGGCTGCGGTTCTTCTTGGACGGCAGCTACAGACGTTTATCATAGAGTTAAAGACCTACAGTTGGAATTATGGCATGGCAATGTTTGAATTTAAGATTGTGGGTAATCTGCAAAACCTGGAATTATTGAAATATAAACTGAAATCTATATAATGAATGAAAATTACTCGAATGTAATACCTTAAATATAATATACTATACAATATATGGTTATACATAATATATAATGATAATTTCATAATGATAGTTTATTTTCTAAAAGAGAGAGTTAAGAGATATATGTATCTTCATATACGATTATCTATGTATTGCAGTAATGAGATTTATGTAGAAGCCGATGTAAAACAGAAATTATAGTAACAATATCAACAGGATGCACTTGATTTGCGTTACTAACTCTTAAGTCTTGAAAGGTTAGATAAAACCGAATCAAGAATGTAGCTAAAGTGCTGAATCCGATCGAATATGCTCGTCTGTATTTCCGCTTGGAGCATGCGGTTGGTCCCGGCTGCGTAATATACTCAACATAACAGCGCTGCGATTGGCGCCTTCCACATGTTCCACGCTAAATCCTATACATTTTAAAGGCTTTGGCCTTTAATATGTATAGTCTTGAATAGTTCATGAGCAACGTACTGAGAAAAACGAAAATGACTTGGCAGAGATACAATTTTTTCATAATTTCAAGCTACACACACGAGTCAACAGAGAGCCGATTTGCTTCACATTGATATGAGAAAAGTCTCATGTGTCTGAATGTTCGTCTCGTAAATATGGTTAGATAATTCCAAACGGAAACGTTCCTCGCTGGCTAGAAAGAAGATGAAAAGGCTAACAACTGTGTTCGGCCTAATCTGTTGTGGACCGGCGAACCGGCTCGACCTATGGCCTTCGTGCTTGCTTGAGCTCGAAACTAGCAACAAACGTAAAGTTTTAATGAAAGCAAGTTTTTATGAATTCATACAGCAAAACGCCTGTTAACATGGCTAAGACTGATAAACACGATATCGATTTTATAATATGTTTTCTGAACCGAAGTGGGGCTTACTTGTCCATTACGGGGCGCTGGTCGAGAAGCCGGTGGAGCTCTCGCAGGAGATCTACCGTTTGGTTGTTTCCACGCCCGCTAGCTGGAGCAGAAGGTGGCACGTTTGTGGATGCTGTTGAGATGAGTGTAAAGATGATTCACTCACTCCAACTTACATTTCGTGCACTGCGCATTGCCATGACTTCCCAGCTATCTCCCAGCTAATGTCAGCTTCAGTCGTCATTCCTCTACCCGATAAATATACCATCGCTGAACAATAATATCCTAAATATCATAAAGGACTCGATCAAAGAAACTCTGATATTTCACTAAGTATCGCAAATTGTTATCCTCAAGTCCCAGATCAGGATTGAAGTGTAGAGTTCCATGAGTCCTCCACGTTATCTTCAAGGAAGAAAATAGCAAAATACTTTGCTTTATTTCAGAAGTGTCAGTTTTCTGGAGAAGATCAGCTTCTAGGGACGCGAGGTAAAAGCTGAGTGGTCATTCAAACGTCAGACGGGTTCCAAAAGTCATCCTTCCTCGCTTGCACAGCTGAACAGGGCACCGTATTCGAAATCTATAGACATACATACACGTTAAACATATAGAAGAAGGCAAGAAAAATACATCTTGAAATCTTATCGTTCAATGCGAAGACTGCCAACCTTCCTGACTACTTTCGTTTCCATCTCATCCTTCAGCTGAGTCAGAGTGAATCGACATTGCAGAATGCACAAGTCGGAGATTCAGTAATTCCATGATTTAGGCTCATGTGTGTGCATGTATGCTAGAATTATATGATGAGCCTCACCTACTTTCTCACATCGTTGGAGTGTTCATTTTTGTCGATAGGATTTGAGAAGTGTTTACACACCACTTAGAGACGGTTCTGTGTCCAGAACATCACATACACGAATGTTAATCAGATCAGTGGGTTCCAATGGCCAGATTACTTGCGCGTGATCACACTCAAATTGAAGAACTTGAATTTTTTTTCGAAAAAGATGATGATTTGGGGGTAATTTACTGAGCAGGTCTGACAGGTACTGACACCGGTCCAACTGCATTTATCTGCTATTCCTTGAGAAGCTGAGAAGCTGCAATCGGGAAGGTGTAGTTCGGGCACAAGCTTAAGGTTCCTTTCAGCTTTTATGGCGAGAACGATAACACTGAAGACCGAATTCAGTACAGATCACATATTTCTAACTTGAAGAATATTAGTAAAATGGATTGTGCAGAAATAAATGCACCGCTTACTGTAGTTTACCAATTTAATATTTAGTACTTGGTCGATCATCAGAATGGGCTGTTAAAACTAGGCTAGTGTCTCTTTTCATGGCATCATCATGTAATTAATGCCAAAACTAGGGGTTTTAGAATGTGCCAGAACTATTTACAGATTTCCTGTATTCCAAGAGCAGAATACTGAAAAACCTGTGCTTTGTATTCTAGAATCATGCAGATGAGTCCATCCACAATAATATCTCAGTGTGTAACATGTCCAGTACGAACCAGAGTTTTTGAATGTCAGGTAAGTCATACAACTCAATTCGGTGAGGCTTTTCTGTTTTATTTGATACTATGAGTGACATACAATATCTAGAGTCCTAATATCGAGATGTTTTTCCTTCATGAAATTATGATTTTAGAAGTTATTTTTGACGTTAATCTTCGATCGAATCTCATTCCATAAATATATATACTTTTCAATTTTATCCATCATCAAGTACATGACAAATAAGGTAGACTTTTCTACACCATCTGCAGTGTCTAAATGATGAACTATATATCTTTGGAAAATCTTTCTCTCTACTTCATCTTTATCGAACTTGAAATAAATCATTTATCTTCATCTCTTACATACTTAGATTGCTATTACGGCTTGAACAAAGTCAAATTTTTTACCTTTTTTCTTTTACCGTCAAGCAAGTAACCTTCTTGTCCATCGTTAGAAAGAAGAAATTTTATCCTTTTTATGAAAGGTTGAAGAAAATGAAATACTTTCTGAAGATCATGAAACATTTTGATTGTAAGCATGAAATATTACCGAATATTTTAGCATATCCAAATTTTTAAGGTTTCCAATTTTAAGAAAATGATTCTTGATCATCCCTAAGAATTGATCTCTATCTCTATTTTTTATTGCATTTCACTGAGTTAGTCAATTCAAACTGCAATATTCGTTTAAATTGATATATATGATATGCTGTCACACACTTAATGTATGTGGTTCACAAATAATGAGAAGTTTGATATTTTAACGTTGTTTTTATTTCAATACATAACATTTTTGGTTGAACATTAGTTGTGATGAGCATTACATTTCACAAATTTTTTTTAGAAAAGGTTATGTACCATTATCTAAATATTTTTTCTAAATTGAACAATGTCGTGCGGAATGGAACCAAGATAAGTTACAACAACTGAACATGTTTTAAAGATTGCAACACTGACTGGTTAAAAGTTTTGACTAACGAGTTGGAAGTGGCTGAGGTAAGTACTTCATTTTGTATATTAGTTAAACTAAATATTTGTTGTTTGAACTTTTTGTCCACGATCCATCCCCAAAAACGGCATATCATTCTCAATTGTTTTGAATAAATTTAAATGCCATTGCAAATTTTTCAACCTCAACTAGTTATTATTCCTACAATATTTCATAACAGGCTTTGTGTAGATCTCACAAATTTGTATTTTGTACAAACTCGTGACACACTGACAAATATGAAACATTTTGCAAGAACGCAGCTCACACTTGAAAATTCTTGAAAGTAGGAACTTTGAACAACTTGAAAGTCCCACGCGAGTTCGTGATTTCCACAACTAAAATAAACCGCGAAACTTCAAGATGACGAGAATCGCCAAGCACAAAATGCAAGGAACGAAGGCAAGCAAAAGTACAAAGCAGAGGCAAAGGCCAAACGAAAACGATAAACTGATTAGTCTCGTACCATGCACAATCTCTGTCACTGTTCCCATCAACCATTAGACTTCACCCGAACCGAAAAAAAATGAATTAGATCTCAACTGTCTTGGGTGTGACCTTCTCATAAAGCCGAGAATCGGCCTGATGCACACACCGATGATGGCGAATATATACAGCGACAGCAAACTTATACGCTACAGCACCATGCAGATCAAATTTCTCCGCATCATGGTGGCCAGCTGGTTCCCCAGGTCCTCAGTTGGGCTCTCCAACAAGCACAACAGATACAGCTTCAGAAATCAGTGCCCCCCAGGACAGCAGCACCGTGACAAATAAACGTAGGATTAGATCATGCAGCTAAAAGCTGCTATTTTACAGCTCATTATGTACAATATAGCCATTGGCTTCGTGGACTTTGACGATCCCGTAGGAAAAAAGGAAACAAGTAAATAACTATTGGTCTCACTAATAGGACCGTCCACAGAACGTTTAGTTCGATGAGGGGAAATCGAGATTATACATGGTGGCTCCTCGAATCTGGAAGGTCCATGCCATGATTGAGTGGAATCTCAGCTGGAGGAAGAGTCTCTACATCCAGATCAGGGGCCCTCGCGTTTCCAGGTCTCTTGTCGTCAAAAGAGGCCAAGCTTTGATGATCCGAGGACGCTACAGCCAGGAAGTACACCATCAGTGCCAAAGAGAAGATTGTAAGAGCAACACCGACTCCAACAAAAGTTTTGAACTGATAACATTTCATTGTGGAGCTCAAAAATCGTTGATTCGGCCTTAGTAGCTCTGGGCTGAAGTTGCAGGGGCTCAATTCTCGAACTGCGAGGACGCACAGAGTGATCATATCCACTGACATGTTCAAAATCACTGTAAATGGCAAGAGGTAGAGTTTGAACCATTTCGACTTCTCTCGTTCGCTGACATAGCCCTCTAGTACAGCGTATGGTGGTCCGAGGCAGATGGTGACCCAACAAGCGACCAGAAGTTTGATTTGGCCGTAGAATGTGCAGATTCTTTTGGTATGGCCCAGTGAAAGGACGCTGCTGATGTAAGACGCCGGAAGTATCCCCAGGATGAAGTAGTAAGCCGTGAACCTATGCGAAGCGTCCGCCAGGTGCACGCATGCCAAGGCTGTGCACCTGAGCAGCAGCTCTCCAATTGTATACAACCCTGCATACATGCACAGTCGATGGGCGTCATCCGTGGCCATAGAAGACTTTGAAAATTGAGCTCGTTCTACGTCTGAGAGGACAGATTTTCACGATATGGGATATTAGATCTGGGCTGGAGGCAGAACTGAGATTATGATTTGTAGATTTTGCGTGTGATCTCAAGGCTTACCTCCTGCTAATCCCAGCCAGTTCAGGGCTAGGGACCATTTCATGTTAGCCTCGTACATGATAGCCCTGCCAGTGTTGTAGCCTCCTGAGACGAGAGCTGCTATGAGGGAAGCGACGAAGACTGGTTTTGGTCGCCAGCTTTGAGCGAAATAGCCGATGTATACGAACACATCGAATTGCAGGACCAGCTGCGGAGCAGTTTCCATGGCACTCGACATTATTGCGTAAAACGCTTCGGTTTGTTCAGATTCCCACCTCTCTGAGCTTCACAGTGAACGTTTACAGGGCACCGCATCAGAAATAGAAATTGCATGCTCTGAAATTCATCATCTGATGATCGAGGTCCTGCCCATGCGTTGGATTGACTTGCATAAAGAAAATTTGATAGAGGGCAACGAGGAATCACTTGAGCAAGTACAAGAATTTAAAGCGTGGAGATTACTTGCATACCTTCCGCATGTGCTTATCTTCCAGACTCCAGCCAAGAATCTTCGCAGTTGCAGGAGAGGAAGAAAAAAAGCAGATCTGATAGGATTTTCTTCAGGTGCCAGTTTCAGCTTGAAAGCGACCACATTTATTATATGTGATGCCAACATCAAACTCAGGGATGCAGCAAAAGGAGTGATATCATTACTTGTGTGAACGTTTTTAATTTTGGCGATCTGGTACATTTCATAGTACTCCTTCAAAACTAAGACATTAGTCAGGAAGTCTGAAAGGTAGAGACCTGCAGAGACTGTAGTCGACGTCAACTTCAGATAGAATGGACGACCGCGGCTATTGCTCCCATCACACTCCATCAGGTCGTTCTTCTGATGATTGGTAAGAATCTTCTGTCTATCACTAGAAGGTGCTCCATTTACATCCACTCTGCATTCTACCCCCTGAAGCCTGGGAACTGTCGAGGGATAGTACGCTTCAAGTCTAGACTGGCCCTGTGTCCGTTCTACCGAAAAAGAGAGTGACCTACCGAGCATGAAGGTTTTGTTCCCTGTATCTTCCCTTGTCAAAGGCATCGAGAATGAGCGGTTGCAAGACTTCACCATGGCTTCCTTCCAAGCATCTGAGTCCTCCATCGAAAGATGACGAGAACTTCTGCGTCAGCCTGGCCTGGTTTCTTCACTCTTCGAAGCTTTCATCCACTGTGCAAGGCAGCAGTCATTTTGGTGTTGGAGACAGATGACTTTTGGAACTGTTCTCAGCTGACTGCACCGGACAAACTCAATGGACACATCGCAAATATTTTCCAAATAGTAAGATTTTGGAACCCGTACTAATTTCAAGTAGAGTCTGTTCTGACTCGATCAATAGGACATGCATGAGCAGCATTCATACTCCGAACGTAATCCCCAGACGGAGTTGTGCACATGAATTGTTGACTCCTCGTGATTCATATAACCTTTCTAACACATGTATAAGCTAGAACCAAACCCAATACGGACCTATCGTCTGGGGTTGACCTGAACCATCACCTACCCTGGTGACAGGGATTTGTAGAAGAACACTTCATATTAGAAACGTCGTCAGTTCGTTGCACAGAAGATTATACTCAATCTATCTGAAGGCCTGAGGACCGCGTCGTCAGTGGGACTGAGGAGAGGGTCACAACGATGAAAGCTCAAACCTTCAGATGAAGCCTTTGATGAAATAAGCACAACTCGCAATCGAACTCAAGCTGCAATGTCTGAGATAGGAGAAAAGGCCATGATAGAGATACCAAACCACCAACCCTTTCGAGGTAGAGAGCTCGATCCAATCGACGGGACCAGACGGAAATGGCAAGGATTCCTTACAAGGATCTGTCAGTGCGAGAAAAACATTCAGAGAAAACCGATGATAACCTATTAAGCAAGCTACAGCTCTAGAACTCACTGTCACAGACGATGTTTCAACAACATCGTCCATCAAGAACTGACAAATGAGATTTGTCAGTTCAAAATCCGCAGCTGACGAAGGCCATATCTAGTTCCATCCACTCATGGCGAACTTCACAGAACCAGTCGATTATCACACTGACCAAATGCCAGGGCTAGTTTCAAAAGTTCGCAATGTGGTTCGACAATTAGTATGGAGCTCGGATCAGCAAGGCTCTCGATATTACTCCAGTTCCAGACTGTAACAGCGGTACGGGGAACACATTGAGAGCATCAGAATAGAAATAGGCACATTTTACATAATTTATTCATGAACTGCCGCTGTCGAGCCACAGAACCAAAGTCAACTGAAAAGCGTACGGTCTGCATGTACAAGCATCATACTCTCTGACACACGAGGACCACGCATCCTATCTCGGACTGGATACGGGCTGAAAAAGCGTGCAGCAGGCGTAAAGTCTTCACGTTCAATGGTTACTGCAGTAGGTGAAGGCAACGTCGTCCTCTGTACATGCAGAGGTGAAGCAGAGACCATGCAGAAGTAACACTGCAGGCTAGATCAACCCCGACCGTATGCCTGTGGGCTGACGGCGTATGGTCACCGTCGTGACGGTCTCTCCTTTGTCACCGTCGCGCACCCTCTAGAAACCGTTCGATGCATTTATTCAATATAAGCTTCCATTCTCAGCGCTTTACCGCTGGTTGCTCCGTAACTGCTTTGTCGATCAGAGGGTTTAGGGTTCACAGGAATAGAATTCATGCAGCCAGCTAGTGGGATCATTCCTGAGACGCGGCAGTCACTTCTGATAATAAGGATTCCACGGATTAATGAGGAAAATAAGCACCATCCTTGTGATCGAGGCCTAGACATGAACCATTCATAAACGCGAGTAGATCATGTTCAGGGCATAGCCGCTACAGCTCCATAGCCGACAGTGTGCTCGAAGTGTTTGAGCTTTACACTACTAAGTTTCATCCTACCAGATTCTGGTATAATTACGACCACGACAATCTCTCGATTCTGGGGTTCCCTACAAAAATTCCAGCAGACGCAGCAAATCTACTACAACGTCACTGGCAAGCATTTACTGTTTGGAGTCGAATCATCCCTATTAACCGGGAGCACAACAATCCTTTTTTTATTCGATGGGATGGTGCTCCAACGAAGGAGCTTTCCAAAAATTTGAACAAGCCGCTTCTGTGTCCCGCACACGGTATTCTTTAGTAAAAGGCGAAAGAATAGTTCGCTCTGGGCTGAACACACGGCTGATGCGTTTACCATCTGAAGATCCAAGCTTATGAACCCCGCACGAAGGCTATTGTCGCGCACACCGTATGGGTTTAGCCTGATCCGCCATCGCCAATCGAAGAAAAATCGAAGACTTCCAAGAAATGCGAGCCGAAAAGTGCGGCCGGTCTCGACTTTGGCGTGTTCAAGTTAGTATGTTTCACACGATATAAACAATGTAACGAGTGAAAAATAAATCTATGATTAGAGTACGATAAGATGATCGCGCGATGTAGTCCTTCTGATTCTGGCAGCTATTATAGTTCGTCCAACATTTGTTTGGGAAACTAAAACTGTTGGAAAGAACAGTTTTAGTTTCGTTGTCCGTTGAGCTTTAGCATCAGCGTTAGCTCTAGTACGCTTAGGCCATTACCGAATGCCGGTATCATGGATACCTATAAATTAATATATAAAAGTAGATATATATAACCCTAACGTGACACTTTCCAGTTATAGGAGAAGGCGTATTCCTTGAGTTTCCTGCTAGTATTTTAGAAGCAACCCATACACGAATGATCAAATAGAATCCGGTATAAAAGATGCGAGGAATTGAAAGGGTTAGGGGTGAGAAGATGTGTCGCAGAAAGCAGAATTTGGTTTGTTGGCATCTTAGCACAAACGGCACTTTAAACTTTTTTCAGTCAGAGGTCTGTTTTAAGCAAGTACCTGACTAATTTGGCCATTTACAACCCACCAAATATTTTCTAGTTTGTATAGTAGCACACGTAATGAGAATTACAATTTTGACGATCCAACCATACGATGGAATGTTTTATAAATGTCTCAAGTAACCTTATGCAAAGATGGATTCTTTTGTAGATTCTATTCAGTAGAGTTTAGTCCGTAGAGTCTACTGTGACCATTTTTAAATTCAGTATATGTTACGCATGTTTGTTTAAGACAAAAGTAGATATAAGTGACACTAATTATTCATTTCTTATAATTTTGTTTTTTATAGATCCAATTTAATGGAAAATATTTGAATCCAATTTAATTTTCTCATTGGCATGTACGATCTTAGTTTTGATACACCATAATTATATTGAAATTTTTTTTCGTACATCATAATATGTCATAAGTGATTTGAATCGGTTCATATCTCCATTCGAAACCTTTATTCTTAAATTTTAAGATTTTAAGATTAGTTGAAGTGAACTGTAAGGAATGTGTAAGAAATCTAAATTAATCAGGAGTTTTCTGTGTGCAATTTCGTAGTCACATTCAAGGATCAGTTTACAAAATAATATTTTAGAATTCAATATATAAAATTGAAGTTTGAAAATTTGCTTAAATTCCAACTATGTATATGCTGTGATTTCTTACATGTAAAAATAATATTTTTCCATATCTATCTATTTATATCAATAGATTTATCTATGAGTTTTATGGAAGAGATATAAAGTCTTACTATGAAGAATTTCCAAGCAGTTTTCAATTTGATCATAAACTTATAAATTATGTTTATTTTATTTCAAATTCACTGAAAATTATGTTATATGAAATTATAAGAAGAAAATTGATGAGAAATTTGAAGACTAAGATCACAATGAAGAATAATATCACAATGACACATAAGTTAGAGTTACATGTAGCATTATCTGCACTTTAAAATTTACTTTTACTTTCTTTTAAGTAGCTAGAAGGAGATTTGCACTGAAATCTAGATTAAATCACACTTCACATATCATTGAGTTTCGTGCAGCACAAAATATCTCACAACATTCTTTCAGTCTTAAAATAATGATAAAAATATTATTCTTATAACCGTATGTAAAAAATAACATTTTGGAAATTCAATATTGATATCATCATACATAAGCATAAGTGTATCAACAATAATTCCTTTAATTTGCAATTATAATAACTTTAACAACAAATTATCATATGGTTTATAGTATGCACTTCATGAGTTTCTAAAACACTAAAGTTCAGCCATCATTAGCTGCTCATACAACATACATATCACCTAACTTTCAAATTGGCTCGCATGTTCATCACATCAAGGACATTTTTGTCAGTCATTGGGGCACAAAATTGAGAGAAAAGCATTCATAAAAATGTTCTTAGTCTAATGACGATTCAGACTCAAATGTAAAAGTATTACTATACAAACACTAACGCGTCTTTGTATTTATGTGTAAATAAATTATAATTTGAGATTCTTATAATAACACAATCATTTCCTGCATGACCACGTTGGATAAGCATGGCTCAAAACGTCCCATACTCCAATTAATATGCATATGAAAATGACTGCACGTCACTAGTTTACTCAGAATGGCGTTTATGCAAAACTCTTACTCATCTCTTTTATTTGTAGTTCCAATGCCACTCTTGATCTAGCTCTTTGATCCTCGTGAAGGTTTGGCAATAATACTAAACTATTTCACAAGTCAGCAACAAAATTTAGTCGTGAACTATTTACTTTTTTTTTTTTCAAATATATGATTTGATTAAAGAACGGATATATCATACATTTAAGAAAACTGGATCTAAGTTATGGCGCCAATGCTGAGTGGTGATTGCGATCTTCAACTTAAACTTGGGCTTTCGCTGACTCTTAAGCATCAAAGAAACGTTTTTGCCTTAAACCTTTCAACACGCCTTTAGTTGACATCTTCCTCAAACATGTTTGACAAAGCGATTTGTGAGTTGGTGATCTGTGCAGTCGGGATATGCACGCTTTCATATATAAGAATTCGTCATCTCTTATGTGAGCACTCACATACTAAGATGACCTGAACGTGTGCAATCACTTACAGAGGATTGGGATATTTATCCAAACATTATAACACTACTTGGATGGTAAGCCACTGCTGAGGGATGAGACAATTGACCACTCAGCATTGGCGCATGCCCAATGCTCAGCATACAGCTTCAATTGTCCGTTTGGACAAAGAGTAAACGAAATGCCAGAATATTGATCATGACTGTATTGTCATTTAACAATGACAGTACATCAATGTAGAGGATTTTAAAGTGTTGGGTCTGGCATTACGTATGTTCTTGAAGTGCAAGAGTTTGACTCTGATCTGCAGATCGGCTTTGGCAATAGATTTCATTTTGAAGAGATATTAGTGGTCAGCATGCTGAGCAGATCGATCCAACGAGAGGCTTCTGTCAGGTATGGTCGGCGACGATGCATCTTTTTCGACTAGTCAACTCACGCTTGATTGAAAGGAACATCTTCACACGATCACTCCTCTCCCGAGTTTCGCTCTCCGTAAGGTGGTATGATGCATGTTCTCCAAGAACAAGAAAAGTCTTCAATAAGGAAGGAGGGGCGAAATGCTTCCACCGGTTGACCATTTGGTCTTATATTTACTTGACACACTAGCTGCTCCTTAGCTCGTTTCCTTGAGAAGATAATCCTCGTATCCACAAATCCGGTACATCCCATGCAAACTTTGAACATTATTTTTCTGCTGAGGCCCAAGTTTCGATTTACTCAAGGCTTCTCCTCCACGAAACTCATATCAGGTTCAAGATGACCAGCGTTCCTCGGTGTCCACCTCGATCGTAACGTAACAACCTTAGCGAGGGATGTTTGGACTCTTACAACATTGATCGGGTCCTTCAACAGTTAAACTCTAATCGAATAAAATAAGATCTACAGCAAAGTAGGCTTGAGTTAGTGCAGTCGTGGATCCTGCTTGTCATATCAGCGATCCTGGGCACAATGCTGCAAAAACTGATTCCGAATTTTTACTCTGTCAATTTAGCAAGGACCCATCTATCTCTCCGAGTCACGTACAGCTCATTGTCGATATCTTTTCTCCTCACGTGTGACTCCGCCGAAAGTAACACAAGAAGAAAAAGGTGATCCATTGCATTTTACTGAAGTCGGTGAAAACGCAAAGTGGATCTTATGTGATATCTGGCGGAGCATTCCAGATCAGCGAAACGCTCCGCGTCCAGATTCTTAGAACTTTGGAGCTTGGCGTGAGTGCAGGGACAAACGAATACGAAGAGAGTAACTGCATGAAGTTCCTTCGAGGAGAATGGAAATCAGGCAGCTAGCAGCCAAATCTGCTTGTCCCACGTTTAGATCGGATTCTGGGCCCTGGCTGAATTTGTCCTACCGAAAGTACTCGTGCGTAGTCAAGTGGAAAGTTTGTCTGTATTTCGGCAGGACTTTCATCGACAGCTCACATCCATGTAGTCAACAGTTGCCTAAGCAACTCCTAAGGGTGGACTCAAGAGATATCAGTCTCTTACGTCATATAAATGTGGTACATGAGTTTTCAAGATCAGGAGAGCACATCTGCCTTTATCGCACTGCGGAACTTTCTGAACTACTGCAAGTTTGCCTTTGTTGTGCTCAGCTTTGACACTTGCTCTCAACGAGGTTACATCCCTCGAATATCAAATTTGTTTTATAGACCGGTTCATAATTAGTCTTAATGGCTAATACCGCACCTAGAGTCTTAGGATTTTTGCTGTTGATTCCTATGGTACAGTTCTCATCTGGAAATTTACAAGTTCTTCGAGGAGACGGTGGAAGTGAGAGATGGCAAGATCTTTAAAGACGCAGATCTTGATTGTATAGTTGATGGCGGAGTTTATGGTAACAAGGCTTCCGAGGTCAGCTCAACGGCCAATCATTCCTTGCTGGTACTAAAGCGGTGATATATACGATAGAATATCGTTTTGCAAGGAATTCATGTTGTGTAAACAAACGGTGTATCAGGATTATTATCTATCTTCGTAGCCTATATATCACAGATTCTGCACTGCCATTGATTCCGAGCTCTCTGAGGTTGCTACTTGCCTGTCTTCATTTCTGCACGTTTCATTCACCATGAATTGCATGAATAACTTGATGAAACGAATTTCACGTATACAGGAAAAGTGTAACTTTCATATCGTAGGTTACAATATTATTAGGAGGATATACGAGACGCAGATTATTATCGATAGATTTTATTATTTCGAGTACAGAGTATTTTGACCATTTATCTTGAAAAGTGTAGAGTAAAGACGGCGATGCAAATGAAATTGTAGATTTTATGCATTTAAATGTTTACATATAATTATCAGATATACACATGTTATAAAACTGTCTCTTATTTAAGCAAGATGCATTTTACAGATGATGATATTAGATAAATCAGATGAGTTATCAGATCCATTCCAGAAATTGATACGTAAAATACATGTAAGATTAGGGGTGCGTTACGTTTTTTCCATTGTATAAAAATTCTTGTACTTCAATTTACGTACAGCTTGTATTCGGAAAAGACCGTAATGTGTCATGTCAAAGACAGTCAATTAGCACAGGGTGAATTTCATGATATAAGCGTAAATGTAATAAAAAGTAATCCAATACAGGTGTAAAACATTATCCTATTGTACCTTTCTTATAGATATAGGTAAAATGCAACATAAATTTCTCATCTCGATCGATTTCAAGTCGAAGACCCGGGTTATACTTCACATATATACTAGTATCAGCTACTTTAATGTTAGCTGGTATACTGCAGTTTATTTACACGCACGAATATTTATATAAACACTCGAATTTGTTCACTCAGCATCGTGAGCAGTCTATATACCGACGTGCCGAACTACCACTTCTCCCTCAATATATTGACGGTCCTAAACGCTTCATATTTTACTCGTTGTCGGTAAATCTAATCGTACTGTACTTTCTTACAATACTATCTTGAAATACTTAAGCGAACAGCTAACCAGCAGATTATTTCCAAATAGCTTGCCGAGAGTAAGCAGCAAATCTTAAACTTTAGCAGAAACTGATGAGAACACAACTAGGAGCCACTTCTAGTTCACGTATTCACCTTCTCTTCAAACTCAATCTGGTGCTTAGCCTAGGCGATGCACGTTTGAGTTCTTCAAGATGAGCATGCACGAGTTGGCTAATTAAAGAACATACGGTGTTTTCATCAACTTCCTCTTCAAAAGCTTGTAAGTTTCCGATAAGACGAAGAACACGAGCACGCTTGCGACAATAATTCCCCATTCCCAAGTGATGGAAGCCTGCTTGAAGATATTGGTGTTCACGGTCGGGATGTAGACGAAGGGGATGGGCAGCAGCGCACCCACGACTACACTCCACACCATGAGCTTGTTGTCCACCAACCTCTTGAACGATCCACCGCCTCCTTCTTTGGTGAACAGACTCGCTCGCAAGTGCCTGCAATTGTAAGCGTGAAGAAGAAACATCCACGTGAAGCTCATGAGCAGAGTCGAGCGCGCTCGGAAGACAGTATCGCAAGCATTCAGATTGCTATCGTCGTTGCAGTCGAACGCCAATCGGCCATGACCGAAGGCATAGATCACCAGAGTCCAGTCGATCAACACCAGTCCTCCCATGAAACTTCCGTATGCGAACATATCCATCATCAATTCTTTGGTGAAGAGACCTCCGAGCTGTGGCGGCACGTGCATGATGCTGGATGACGCAGGCTCGATCCCCAAGCTCATGGCCGGCGGCGTTCCAGTGACCATGTTCATGAAGAGAATCTGCACGGGGGAGAGAGGGAAGACTGACACTCCTTCAGAATCTTGAAATGCCAGGCCCACAATGAGGACGATCACCTGGCCGACATTCGTGCTCATGAGATGAACGACGAACTTTTTGATGTTGGAGAAGATTCGGCGCCCTTCTTTCATCGCTAGGACGATGGTGGCGAAGTTATTGTCCGTCAGAACGATCTCGCTGCTCTGCTTCGCAACATCGCTTCCGGCTCCCATGGCAATGCCGACGTCGGCCTTCTTCAAGCTCGGTGCATCATTCACTCCATCTCCCGTCATGGCAGCGTACTTCTTCCTCCTATGCAGCGCTTCGATCATTCTGACCTTCGTGGCCGGGGTGCACCGAGCGATGACCAGAGGCAATTCCTCCAGGGCATCGACCTCGTCGTTGGACAGAGCGTCGAATTCTCCAGCCGTCATCACCTCCCTGTACATGGGAACAATCGTTTCCACCCCGTCGGTGTTGACATCAGAAGGGGGCAATTGGTTGCCGATGATCCCAATTTCTGTGGCTATGGCGAGAGCGGTACTCTTGTGGTCTCCCGTGAGCATGTGGACTTTGATTCCAGCATCATGACACTGCTGGACGGAAATCTTCGACTCAACTCTCGGAGTGTCACGAATGCCGACAAGGCCGAGAAAGGTCAGACTCTTCTCGACATCGCCGCGCTCCCATTTCTCCATGGGCTTCCCCATGCTCTGCTCGCTCGTCCGTCGGTGCGCCGTGACCAGCACTCGCAGACCCTGCGTCGCCATGAGCTCAATCTGAGCGTGAACTTTCTCCAGAAACTCCGACCTATCACCGATTTGCTTCACCATCTCTCCGTCCATGACCTTGTCACAAATCTCGAGCACATTCTCCGCTCCCTTGGTGTAGATATCGAAATCGTCTGACGTGCCGAGGTTCGAACAAACCATGCTCATTCTTTTGCTCGCCGAGCTGAAGGGGAATTCTAACACCGCCTCCTTCAGACCCAGAAACGCCGGCTTTCCCATCTGCAGTTTGTAGGCGAACACCTGCAGAGCGATCTCGGTGGGATCTCCCCACACTTTGCCCTTGGATGACTCGATGATATTCGCGGTGTTGCACAGAGCACTGCATTCCACCAGCCTGTGAAAGTTCTCGTCCGCTAGAATCCTCTTCGCATCGAGAACTTCATCCCCGTACGATATCGATCCAGTTGTCTCATATCCCTGTCCGGAAATGCGATACGTCTCTTCCTTGCTTGGGATCCAGACATTGGTCAACGCCATTTTCCCCTGCACATCGAACACCCAGGACACATAAAATCAGAAGGCAGTCTCGAGAAAATGGTGTCGTGACGAAGACAAGGCACCTCGTCGCTTTGGATATCCTCTGCCACGATGACGGCAAATAAGAATTTTGGGCACTTGCTGCGTCTGGCATGTGCTAAAAGAAAGGTCCAATCTTTCATAGCCATCCGCATGCATGAAGAATTGTCTTTTGAAAAATAAGAAAACGAGAATGCCAACCCGAGATCTTAATTCCACCTCTCAATTTCATCATCCAGCAATCATGGTGAGTGGGAGACATTATTACTGGTCCAAGAACTGGACAAGGAAATTCAGGATTCTCGAGTTCGATTCGGAATTGCGTACCTGAGTCAATGTGCCAGTCTTATCGGAGCAGATGTTGGTCACAGGTTGCATGGATTCTAACACGACCAGCTTCCTGACGATAGCATTTTGTCTCGCCATGCGCTTGACGCCGAGTGCCATGACGACGGTGATCACAGCGATCAGACCTTCCGGAATGACGGCGATGGAGAGGGCTATGGCGTAGATGATGATCTCAGTGTTGAAGTTGAACTTGTTGACGGCGAACACGATCACGGCGAGGAAAATCGAGATGACGAACAGAACGTACGCCATCTTGTTCAGTCGCCTCTGCAGCGGGGTGGTCGAGCTGGGAGTCTCGTCGATGGCGGTGGAAATCTTGCCAATCTCCGTCGCCATTCCCGTGGCGACTGCGATCCCCTTGCCTCGCCCCTTGGACACCGTGGTGCTCGAGTACGCCATGTTGAAGCGGTCGCCGATGGTGGTGTCCTTGGCCTGCAGCGACTCCACGCTTTTCATGGCGGGCATGCTCTCGCCTGTGAGCATGGCCTCATCAATCTCCATATTCAGCACATCGCAGAGGCGGCAGTCGGCAGGAATGATATCGCCGACCTCGAAGATGATCACATCACCAGGGACGACATCGCCACTCGAAATTCGAGTCTGGACGCCGTCCCGTAAAACCTTAGCTGAGGGTGAGGCCATCTTTCTCAAAGCGTCCATCGTCCTCTCGGCGCGAAAATCTTGCACAAAGCCGACGATAGTATTGAACAATATCACTATGATCAGCACTCCGGCCTCCGCATAGTCCTCGACCACAATCGACACCACTGTGGCGATTGTGAGGATGAGGGTCAAGCCATTGGTGACCTGCTGAAGCAAAATTCGCCATGGGTTTATTCCTCTCTGGCCCTGGAGCTCGTTTCGACCGTATTTTACCAACAGCTCTGCTGCTTTCGCAGATCCGAGCCCTACCTCTGCATCGGTTTCGAGCAGCTTGCTCACGTCTGGGATGGATCGAGCATGGAAGTCATCAGGGAGTTCTGCCATGCAACACTAAAAGACTCTTGTTGTTTCTAGCCTTCCCCTCGTTCTCTCTCTGTGAACCTTTCCCTTTCAGATTAGCAACCGCTGCACCTTCACTCACAAACGAGTGAACTCCGAATGTTACTCACTGAGGTCCACCCCTCGCTTCTTATACTGTCAAATGTTACTCATTCAGGTCTCCATCCGCAGCACCATGCGTCCGTAGATTCGGACCTTTGATCCTTCGCCGACGGGCTTCCTGGAACTTACTCTGGACCCCACAATCAGGGGTTGCCTTGGTTACTGTCATGCTAATCCCGCAGCTGCTCATCGTGGAGCGATCGATGCATTGCAGCCAGCCATTCTATATTTGCTAATGCGCGCATTAAGCTGGAACAAATTGAGAGCTTGGCACAGTATTCTGGGAGCTGAAGATCTGAGCCGCCAAACTGTTTCGATCGATGGTGCGAGTGTAATTTTCTTCTGAGAGACGTGACAATTCTTTATCTCCACACAAGCGCCTCCTACTCTTGTGGAGATGACACATAATCCTATGAGCGCCGCCATCTCAGCTGATGTTGGGGGGTTGACAAAATCTCCGAGAAATTATGGTGACAACAGATGTTGTACGTGTCGCACACAGCCGCCTCCAAGTGTGGGCGATCTCAGATCGATGGTCGTTCGGCCACAGCGGAAGGCTTTGCAACCATTCAGAATCTGGAGGAATTGTTTGATCCCTGCATCTGGTTGCGGAGGACGAGACACCAAAGTTCAGCATCCAATAAATGTCTTCATTGACCTGAATAAGAGTAGACCAGTCTGAGGACTCCAATCGCACACAGTCAGGCACTTTTCTGGGAAAGTCAGGAGATGAACAATCTGATGAAAAGTACAAAAGAAAATTGACCCTTGGACTCTTGAGGGATTGCCATTACGTGTTGCCTGCTCTGAATCTGCAAAAAGTCACCACCTCTTTGACTGTTGTTTCAGTCACGAGCATTCCTGGACACAACTCGGACGCAGAGCTTCCTCGACAACTTCCTTAAGCAGCCCTCGCCTATTCGCTGCTCACGGTTGCTGTTGGTGGATGCTCCCGAGCAAAATATACTTGTCAGTGTGAGGTATCTACGAGTGAGGATATGTTCGTTAGGTGAAGCGTAGCACAAGTCAGATATGAGATGGTGGTCAAAGAATATGGTCGCTGAGTTGCATACCGAATTCATAATAGAAGCCTCCCGATTAACAATTGTAAATAGAAACACCCATCTCAAAAACTCACCCAAGCCAAAGTATAATACAGTTCTACCCTATGGAAATATATCCTCTTCCTTCACAAGATGCGAGTCAGTTACAGTTTCTTTGGAAAGTCCTCTTGTTGTCATGCTCTTCCATGACGTTCAGACAAGAAAAACCTTTGTTGTCTAATCTGGGAACATATCTCTTGTCGTTTAACGCAATCATCAATTCATAGATATAAGGTCATATAATGTGAATATATGTAAAGTGCAACCTCAATATGTTCAAACATATTGAGGTTATCCGTACCAATTGTAACTAGACATATACCAAGTAATATAGCAAAAAGATGGAAGAACCAAAAAGAATACAACGGAATTTGGTTCCAATAAGTACTGATATCCTTGTGCGAAGAATACAATCGTAACGACACATTTATGACCGAAAGTCATGAGCATCTGAGAAAGACATGAAATCAAGAGAGTGCTCATGATATATGATGGGGCTATATGATATATGAATAGTTTTAGAATATAGTATAACTTGTTTTCTAACAAACTAGACTTTTGTGAATTTTCTGATTACCGGAATTTCAGCGAAATATTCATAAACACATTTGGGTATAACAAAGAAAGGACTAAGAGACATTGACAATACAACGTGGTCAAGTAAATTTCGCTAGAAAAAAATTTGTTCGTAAATTGTATCTATTAATTTTTTGGTGATGATTGTTACTTAGACTACTTGGGCATAAAGTTTTTCTTTACTTTTCATGTCCCTACAAGAAAGCGTCATGACCTCAGCTACGTTCAAGATACACTGAAGGGTGTTATCTTAAAGGAAACAACCATATACAACTAAATCTCAGATAGTCTCCATGTCAGATGAGGTCCCCCATTCTCACATGACTACTCAAATCCTCCTCATGTGTATTGTAGAATGCCATCCAGGGCTTGATTCTAGATTTGGAATAAGACAATAGTTCACACTTATCTGCATAAATACATAATTACGGCAGTAAAATGTACACAGCATTAAAAAATTTAGCTGTAAATGAAGCAAGATGTATAGATGTGTCAGGATAGTTAAGTCATGTCCAATATTAATAGATCTCCCCTTCATAAGCAATCCCTCAACAAAATAAGCTTACAAATCTAGCTCTTCCAAATCCTAAATACCAAAAGAGCATAAAAGAACTCTAAACACACGATATAAGACATGTCAGGAGGAAGAGGTCACAAATTGCATGGAGTCATGGAAATTTGTTTTGATTTTGTAAGCACCACATGTCTGAACTGTATAGTGGACGCGTAGAGTCTACTATGTCACTTGAGGACTTTAAAATTCCGAAGGTGGAGTTATATTATCCACAAAAACAACACTAAAGATCTGTTGCTCAATTAGACTGAAGAACATCAAAAAAGGTACTAGTGACAAAAAATTGTATCATTCATCACATGAATGACAACCTCCATCTTTCTCGCTTTCTCACAACTTGCATCTTAAAACTTGTCGCATGCCAATACGAAATGAGACCCGGCCTAAGCTTCCATAAGACTAGGAATCCAGATACTAACCATGAAAAGTGTTGTCAAGTTGAAAAACAACTCAATGGAGGGCCCAGCTCTACTGTGTACTACAGAAGTTCATACTTTTAGATACTTGAGTGGCATGCATGCGGAGGAGGGGGACGGTGGTGTTATCAACGAGTAAGATTGCTTGTCCCCATGTTCCATGTGATATGAAATAATCGAAATATTATACCAAAGAACTTTAAGTCTACCAGAAGGTCACAATCATGTGATTTCTATGTGACCTTGATACCATATTCCGCACTAGGTGATGAAAGTATTAATATGGTTATCATGTCTTTGGAACCATGTAATGTCATCAGAGTGTAACTCACCCTGAAGAATATATGAGGATGATATGTAACCATACACGTCTTTTGTTTCTTGTTCATGGACAATTAGATTCTGAAACATGAATTTCCTACTTTCATATCCATGGGCTGATAGAATTCCCCTATTATAATTTCATCTCACTTAGAAGTGGTATTGTGTTGGAAGTCTTAGGTTATTTTACTTCACTTGAGAAAGTATAACATGCTCTTAGTATCCTCCCCTAGAATAATTTACATTACTTCAGACTAAAAACTTGAAACTGACTATTGTTTCTTAAATATGTTGCTTTCTTTATATATAAAATATTCCATTAGATTTTCAGGAGTCTCTTAGAGCAAGGCATTTTTGCATAGTAAAAGATACTGAGTGTCATGTCTTTACATGATCTATAGTGAACCAAGGTTTTGAACATATTGTGGAAATCATTCTTCATCATCACTCGTTATATATAGTTTGCTTAAAAAAAACAAAAAATAATCAAATTTCCTATATGATAATATATGAAAAACTTCTAAAATCGTACTTTTAAACGTTCGGAATATGACTTCCTAAACAACGTGTTCCTGCACAAATTTCGTCTCGCGGTAATGCCTTCCGGTATTAGAATTCATTTATAAGTCAAAAAATATATATCTTGTTGGAAACTGAAGGGGAGGACGAATTGAAAAAGTCCAACCAAGTTGCAGGACCTTGCAGTAGGTCACTTGTTATTTCAATGTTACCTCGCAGTACCTCCTTCCTCTGTGACCATCTTTATTTTTTATCTGTTGAAAAAACATTGAAACATCTTCTAAGTTCCAACGAAATTTATTCTAAGTATGACTGGTCACGTTTTACTCTACTTTTAAAATTTTAGTATCACCTTAAAATATGTGTACCTTTTTTTTTAAATTTTATGTTCAATTCTAATTGTACCTTGCTGTAGATTATCTTGTCTATATTCATTTCAAAATTACGATTGATGCATTCAATTCAGTATATTGTATAGCAGTAGGTTACTGACATCTATAACACATGTTGGGAGTATCAAAAGAAAATTAATAAATTGTTAAAAAGACTTGGAAAAATTTTGGCGTCATACTGCTCTTATAAAGTTTCAAAGTATCGTACAAAAAATTTGTCTACGCAATCATAATCTGCCTGAAATATATCTGAAAGGAAAAAGTAACAATCCGAATTAATTAGAGAAAACATTTACGCTCACCCCGAAAATCACATATATTTACATGAGACATATGATTCCGAGGACATAATGAATATCATCAAACCTTTACAATCTATCATATTCCTCACCACAGACATGTATTCGCATAGCAAGGCAAAATATTCGAAGAGCTGAGATAGATAAAATAAAAAATCATTCCTGGCTGGAAACTTTGGGTCCGAAGGTGTAAAATATAATAATAAATTTAAGGCCTTTTCACTCTAGTGTCATATACTACCATAGATGTATGTGAAGTGAAAATGCGACTCTAAGTAGGCTGGAAAGGAACCCAGAATCTCAAATAACCACAGTCAATTAGTTTTCCCTCCCAGTTTCTACCTCTACATTTATCCTAAAAACTATGCAATTTTCCATTACGCAACGAAAAAGGTAAAATCAACGTGGCAAACACCCTAGAAGACAAGTGTCCAAATTTGGAAGAACTTCGTCTTCATTTACAGAAAAGACAAATGACCTCCGGTGGTAAGCGTAGAGCAAATTACATGCTTAACAGGTAGAGAAAAGTTTATTATGCTGCATGTGTAACCGGAGGGAAAGAGCAGATTCCACTGGATCTCTCCCTCCATTCCCGCCAATGTAAATGCTGAGATTCCAGAAATAGCAGCCACGTCAGGCTACATGCTTGTCGTAGGGACCTAATGAAACAGATGGCGTGAGCATACAAACGATGCAGTACCCTACAAGCACAAGTGTACGTTCGAACCTCCCTCGAACATAGTTCCACCTGCCCCACTGGGCACCGACCACGTTTTGTCCTATGCCT